ATTCCGGTACACCTGCTCCGCTTTAGCCACCGACACTTCAGTCTTATACCTTGTTCAGAAGAAGCGAAAAGGTTTGGACGTTGCAGCCCAAATCCCTGGACAGTTCTACTAAAAACACTTGGCCTAGCAGTGAAAAAGAACGAAGCTGATATAACTATAAGACGTGTGTTCTGGTATTGTAGCAGTGAGACAAAATTAAACTGCGCCGCACCCAGAGTCGAACCTGGCGCCTGGGCTGCCAGCTCGCGTGACGACCTTCCCCGCCCAGGTCACAACATCACGTTCTCGCCCATTCAACCGATTTCACGCGCGATTTGGCGACAGTAAACTTCTGTTTAACGCGAGACGTCTTCATCGGGTAAGCACCGGGCAGAAATATGGCTTCCGAATGATTTGAGCGCCTGTTTTGCGCGCCTGTTTTGCGGAAATTTGTACAATTTGTGGTGGTGACTAGAAAAGTGCGCGTCAGAAGGAAAATTTACAAAGCTCTCCCAGAAAGTGCAATACATTATACAAGAAGCACTGTGGCTTTCACTCGCTTAGACGCGATTTGACATCAAAGGCAGGGAAGTGGACTGTGAAGTTGTTTAGTTGTAAAACAATTTTGACTACAGGAAATCTGAAAAGCTTCGAATCTGCTGTTTTAGACTGTCCGTCTAGTATAATGTTTAATTTTACTCATACTTCAAGTAAGAATGATAATTCCTTGTTCTACTAGGAACATCGTATGAAACAGAAATGGGTAATTATAAAGACTATTTTCCTGAAAAGTTATCAAGTTGTCAACCCCAATGTCTTGTTTACAGAGAATGGACTAAAAAACACGAAAACAGGCCAACATAACCAAAATAGACCTCTATACGCGCAAATAAACATATACATGAAACAGCTATAAAATCCCAGCCCATGTATCATTCAAAATACGACAATCTTTGGAAGTCCTAAAATTGTACAACGGAGACAATATATAAGATTGGTGTATTTTGAATGATAAACATGTACATGAGCGTGGATTTTATATATAGACTACAAGGATTTCGAAACCTTAATCCAAATGTAGTATAAAGACAGCGAAATAACGAATAAAGTTATCACATAATCTAAGTTAATGAACAAAAACACGAACATATCATAGTGTTCATAACATTTCCCCTTACCTGTAAGGAAGACTACTTCCATGTACCGCACCGTTTGAGAGTTGGTCTCGCTCTGGCAGCCGTCTGACTGGTGGTTCTTACAAATATCACGAGGAACCATCAGTAGCACAAACTCCCCATCACACAGGAATGCACCTCGGTACAATGGGAGAGGTCCCAGGGACGCGCCTCGCAACAATGGCGGAGACAACCCCGGTCATTTAGTGGAGACATTCTCGTTTTCTGCGTGACGGACTCTGCTCATCAGTCTGCCATAGCGACAGACAGTCTGTGGGAAACGTAGGTTTAGACACCAAGACAAGTAGAGGTGTAGACTTTTGGCGTGTTTTACTGGGCTTTTTTTATTTGTAAAAGAAAGGGCAAATGGTTACCGCCTGGCCAATTTGAAACATAGGTCTATTAACCATGGAGCTTGAATTCAACTTGAAATTTGGTCTAACTTAATTTCAAAAGCCTCTACTGAAGAAGGTTCTTCGCGCGCATGAATTTTCGTCCGTTTCCAAAAAAAGTTTTTCACCATACTGTAAATCGTACAAAGCAGCTGCAAATTGAGCAAATATAAATTGCAAAAGATATTGGAAAACGATACTAATGTCGTAGAATGCAGCATCAATTCCCAAGGAATAAGAAGAAAATATGAAGAAACGAAAATGAAGAGTCTATTAATCGCCATACCATGCTCTCTGTCTTTAGCCATTTGTACAACCTTCATGACCACGTAGATTTTATAATGAAGGCAACTTTTTTTTGGCCAAAACTTGTTTTATTCGCCCGCTCGCATCAGTCTTGGGGTTACGAGAGGATGTCATCCATATAATGGATCCCTACAGGACTTGACTGTTTAACCGCGCGGCCGGAGAGGATGGCGCCTCTAGTCGACGCCACCGTTCAACGTTTGCTTTCAGCTCGGACCGACCTCTCTAAACCGTTACGCGGTTCACTTTCAAATTTCTCGACCCGGCGACCCCGTGGCAGACACAGTTCAGACTTGACCCGTACCAGACTGTTTAACTACAGAGCGGTCCTGATGCCAGGAGACTGTCTACGTTCTACGTTAGACAAGCCTGCTACTGGCTTTATTCTTTCTCCGCACGTCGGTGCTCTACAAAGTAAAAACAAAAGTGCTACAATCAAGAAAACGTAACTGTATAATCTTTATTTTCCTGCTAAAAACGACTTTTATAACAGTCCTTACAAAAAGCAGCAGTTGACAGGCTTTCCAATCAGTCAGTCCACCTTGTACAGTTGGTTGCTGACGAAATGGTAGAAAGCCGCCAAATTTGGTAAAGAAACGGGGCGTTTTTCGTTCGCTTTTATACTTCGCGCCATCAATATCGAAACAAAACGAAACTTTTCGAAAACCTGGCATCCAGGCTTTTTATCGTTAGATATCGCCTTTTCTTTGATAACACAACAAAAACTTAGAAATCAATCCCTCGTAATTGTAGTAAGCGTTTAGCGTCCACAACTTTCGATTAAAAAATAACGTCGATATTTACGCAATGAGGTCGCAACACCTTTGTGGAAAACCGATCATGCAAAAAATATGAAGCACTTGAACTTAAAACTCACCGCGAAAAGCAGAGATGACATTCTGAAGTATCCTTGTGTTACGGTCTCCTTCAAGATTCCAATTATCTGCCTAAATCTAAGCTCCTTGGCTAATTAAGTGTCGCTTGTTTAACACCACCAAATGGCTCCTCGGTACTTTGCGGCCAACCCGAAACTGTTAGACCGTTGGCGCCAAACCCGGCGACACATTTAAACGCCCCACATTTGTTTGAGTGTTTTGGTGATTTTACACACACACTGCGCCGTGAAATTAGCTCCATTTTGGCCAAATTACCTCTAATTTCTGCATTTTGCTACAAAAAGCGAGCACTTATCTCCATTTGTACGGGTCAGTTCGTTCTAAACAGGGTTGACCTCTGTGCCCCTGGGGGGTTCTTTACACACGTCAGAAACACATTACAAAACCTCTAACGCAAGACGACCAGCATCGACACAGGTTTGCTTCTTCCCACCATAAGCTCTTCTCGAAATTAAGAAATGAGGTCTTTATAATTTCAAACACAAGAAATTGGATAATTTATACCGTACAACTCGTCTTTGTCAAGGAATGAGCAATCCGCCGCTTCCGTGACGTCACGTTATGTAGATTACAGTTTAAACTTGCTTCATAATGAAATTCATTTTGTCAACTACAAAAAGGGTCTGCCATTTTCTACTTTTAGATAGTATTACACATTGTATAACCAATGTCAGAACAATACTATGTAGATGATCTTGACTGAATACGATGACCGAAAAAAAAACATTCTAGAAATGCGAAAACGTAGTGAAATGTGTCATGTTGTGCTAATATTGTATTTAGATGTATTGTAATATTTCTTTCCCAACTACTGGGATAATAGCTTGCTAAAGGCTAGTAACAAATGGATCCAAATAAACTCGAACACAACCCAGTTACCTGATGATAGTTTATTTGGTAAAGATACACCACAAATGCGACAGGAGAGAAATGTGGTAGAAAACGGAGGAGAAAATCAGTCGCTAGCTTAAAAATATTGGCTGGCTAAAAATACAAAATATCTGCAGGATATAAATAAGGGAAAAGACGACAAACACCTATGCCTGTTGCAGCAGCACATTTCACTGAGATATCAAAAAGCTTCCTGTCCAAGCAAAAAAAACTGAAATGGTTTTTCACACAATTCTACCTAACAAAGTGCTACTTATTAAGCCTCTACATGTACTTTGAATACCTTGAATTGAGCACTCCAAATATAAATGCTTGTACTTACAATAGGGTTCGTATGGGGTGAAATTATGATCAGCGTGAGAGTTGTTTAGCTCAGAAATAGCACCCCTCTGAAGAAGTGGTTCCTCCCGCTTTACCTGCTACAGGATCAACCCATTTACGGAGGGGGGGGCGGGTCGGTGATAAACAGCAAGAACATATCTACCATCATGGTAGAAGTAATAATAACCTTACAATTCTGTTTTGTGTGTGTGACAGGGATTTTTCAAATGAATGCTACAATTTTGGGCTTTCACTTATTGTTAGCGGTTCAAAGGCGAATTAGGGAGGGAGGTTTCTATCAGTTTCACAGAGGCAACATTTTGCCTCTGCTTGAGACTTGACAATTGAGACTTCAGCATTTGTCTCCAAGGTCCAGTACTACACATTGCTGTGTAACTTACAAAACTGTTCATCAGATTAGCTTGTCCCCCCTCCCCTTCATTCAATATTCAGATTCTAAAAAAAAAAGGAAACAACAAAAAAGAAAGGAAACCTGCCACATGCCACAGCTGAAGTTTTGTACAAGATTCAGTCTTTACAAGCCAAGTTTTACTGGTGCCTAACATTGGTACCCTGGTTACAAACCTTTCTCTACAATTTCAAAGAATTGTAAAATTATCCAATTGACATAACAATAGTATACTTAGTACGCAAAAGAAGCAAGCTGTATTATCTTGATGCATTTTATCAACTATAAACAAAATTAAACAGTAACACTGTGTAACAGTGCTAACTGACCATGCTAAAGGGTCGTGCGACCTTTTAGTGTAGTGGTTAGCGTTGGTGACCACCAAGCGGACAACTCGGGTTCGATTCCCGGTTGTGACCTGCTAGCTCAGTCGGTAGAGCATGGGACTCTTAATCCCAGGGTCGTGGGTTCGAGCCCCACGTTGGGCGCCACTGTAAAAACCGAAAGGGGCGAGCATGTCACAACCGGGAATCGAACCCGAGTTGTCCGCTTGGCGGTCACCAACGCTAACCACTACACTAAAAGGTCGCACGACCCTTTAGCATGGTCAGTTAGCACTGTTACAACTGTACTCTGTCTCTGGCAAGATATGCCTATGGCATCTACATGTAGTATTCTGACAGGACAGAAATGCAAGCAATAGATTTGGTTCCAAAAATTGTTACAAAAAGGATCTATGTTACATACATGTAAGTCATTTATATCCGGAAGTATTAATTCTACTTCCAGCTGATCATGCCATACAATCTCCTTCTGTTTCTGTCTTCTCTTCCAACCATCTAGAATTTGGGTAAAACTTCTTCTTCACGTCCGTTTCTCTTCTTGGCAATCATGTCAACATGTTTTGCGTAGCAGTCTTTCCTCTCGGTATCCTCTTCACATGTCACATCATACTCGATATAAAAGTCCATGACCTTTGAACTTTCACCTCTGGTGACCTCATCAGGACACACCTGATGGTACTTATAAGGTGATTCAAACGTAACCACGGCGATAATCTGAACATATAGGTACAGCACGATTTTTGATAAGAGTGATCGGTAACTCTGTAAATAGGAGCTGTGATGGTAGATTTTCATTCAAGTCTATATTTTTTCTACACTATTAGTAGGGCACCTAATGAGTTGGTATAATCTGCAGTGGTTTTCTCTACATGTAGGCAAGTTGAGCATCTCTTCTAAAGTCTCTTGTGTTTACACTTAAAAATCTCCCACCTTGCATCTCATGCAGAGGTCCCCTACATGTACGTTCTGTCAAGCTTCATGTAGCGCTGCCCAATTTCACTGCTACACCCCCGTATATGACCCCTGTACATATTCTACACTGCTATAGCGAGACACCTGAAAATAGGAAGCGACGTATTTGTGTAGAGTATTTAAATATTCACTAATTTACAAGCTAAAATTGTAGAAGCATATTGTACATACTGTATAAATTACATACACACGATGAGACCTAGAAAAGCCTACAAATGCTGACATTTTGGGGCCCCGATCTTCCGTCTGTCTTCCCAAATTCTGGCAAGAGTTGGGAGTACGATTAGTTTTGTGTCTCTAGGCTCATGGTGTTGGTAGTGCACACGAGTCCTGCTTGAGTGGAAAGTGGCCACACCCTGGTCTTCTCTTCCTCTTGTCTCTCAATTCTTCAGTCCATCATTCTGAAACATACAGAACACACAGTCAGCTTGTTGTTTGCTAGATACGTGGTAAATGTAGGGCCAGGAATGTTAGGCAACTGTGCGTGTGTTACTCAGTAGATGTGCCACTGCCAAATACATGAGACACTAGTCAGCTGCTTTTAAAACATAATTTGTGCAAAAAAAAAGTTGTGAAATACACTGGCGTCAAAGATAGAGCATTTCTGGAGTTACAGTAACTGCACAGCTAGGTGTCAGTGATGTGACACCCCTAGTGACTTTGCTGTGAAGTGCAGGGGAGAAGGGTAAGGCGAGACTCTCACAGACGTATGAGTTGTGAGCCATTTGAGAAGTCCATGGCTGAGATTTGTCCCATGGAACCAGCTTGTGGGGACTCCCTGCCCTGCCTAGAGAGAATATACACAGAGAGGAAGGGAACTCACATTGTACTAACCCTCGAGTCAAGATGAAATGGCATAGATAGAATTAGCCTGGGTGCCAGACTGTTTCCAAGACCTACATGTACATATGGTCAGTTGGGAAACAGGAAATAAACACAACATTTTTTTCCATGGGTCCAAAGGTAATTATATGTCTGCAGTCTGCATAACTCTGGCCTAGCATGCTAGGGGTCTGGCATCCAGGCTAAGATACATGTAGAAGATGTTAGGGTAGGTTGTTTGCTAAATGGCTTTGTCAACCGATCTTTGTAATTGGCACCCTCCAGGTATAATAGGCAACCCAAGCTCTGTCAGTGACAGTAAACGAAAATGTTTCAAAATGTTTGAATGAACTATATCTGAGTGTACATTCTGCCAACATGGATATTATATCGTTCATTCAAACGTTTTACAATATTTTGGTATCAGTGTCACTGACACACCTTGGTGCTTCTGTTGTGCTGGAACAAAGCTTAGATTTCATAAATATCATAAGATGTGATCATTGTTGAATAATATCTAACGCGATAATATTGATTGGCTGAGTAAAGAGACTCTTTTTACACAAACAAGTGTTTTATTCACAGTCGAGATTTCAGTGACCATCTGTCACCTTCCTCAGGACAATTGACTGGTTCACATTGCACTGCAGCATAGGTGTCGCTGCTATACATGCATCACAAACATACAATATCGACATGTCTACACGTGGTTACAGGAAACTGTATCTACTGTAAAAAGAGTCTCAGTGACTGTAGAAACTATTCCTGATGAAACTATTCACGTATTATAGTGGCTATCCTCCCACCTACATTCCTCCATACTCACATATCTCTACAACGTTTAGAGTTAGATGTTCAAGGGTTAGGCGTAACAAGTCATTCAGCGTAATGTAGCCAGCCGCTGCCGTACCGTGTGCCTGCCAAGCTGGTGTGTTACGCCGAAGGGCTGTTATACCGGCTATACTGATACTCACATATCTCTACCACATAGTTGCCAGGGAATGTCCCAAACTGTCCTGTTCTCTGCAAGGTGATCATTGCTGAATAATAATTATATATAATAGCTAATATTGGCTATCCTCCCACCTACATTCTTTAACAATACTCACATATCTCTACCACGTAGTTGCCAGGGAATGTCCCAAACTGTCCTGTTCTCTGCGAGGTCCCGACGTACCACCCATCATCACACTTTTCCATCACCAGCACCACATCGTCTTCCGTCAGCTCAAGCTCGTCCTCGTTCTGCGGGTGGTAGCTGTAGATAGCACGGTACCTGCGGGAGGAAAATGGTTCTAGTTTAACAACAAGGCCTAGGAAAAAAAATGTTGTGTTTCCTGTTTCCCGACTGACCCTAGAAAAACCTGCCGACCCTAGACTTTTTTGTGTGAATCCCAGCAAGCACATACTTTTTTTAGAGCTGATCATCCTTTTCTAGATCCATAATCTGACACCTGAGAGATGTACAATCGGGTTTCCAACATTGATATTGAAAATATAAGTGTCCTCATGCAGGTTTTACTTTGTTAAACTGTATTGTATGAGTTGGATCACTATGACACTAGCCAAGGTTTAAAAAGGGAAGAAAAAAAATAATCCCTAGTACCTACCGACCCTATTTTCTCAGGACTGAAACAAGGAACACAACTTAATATAAATAGAGACTGATAGAGACTAAGCTGGTACAATAATGTGCCTTACTTTTCCCCTGAAGGAGGCGGTGGCATGGCGTTGGCGTGAGTCTGCACAGGGGGTGACACATGCTGCGGAGGTACGTGTTGTGGTGGAGAGATGTGCTGAGGGGGGGACACGTGCTGGGGGGGTGGGACGTGGTGCTGCGGAGGGGGGGCACTGCGAGGGTGGGGGCCTCCGTTGTACACATAGTTGTCCCTGTTGTTGCTGTAGAACTGCTGGTTGGGGACCTGGGGAGACGGGGTTCTTTGCTGTAAGAGACAAGAGATGTAGCATAGTGAGTTAAATAAATATATCCACAATTCATAATTATACACTAGACTATCAGATTCTATAATTCCAGCATTTACCACAATGAACTTTGAAAAAGCAAATTTAAATATGACTTGTGATAACCCCTGCATGCTATACATACATATTAGGGATATATATTAATTAGATATTAGAAACTCCTCCAATGATCGTAAAAGTTCATACCTATCCCATACTTATGAAAATGTACATGTTGTTAGTAGATGCCATACTTTGTACCCTTTATTACAACTGTTGTGCCATAAAGTTATGTGAGTATCATAGGAAATGTCATACAAGGACATTCAACAATCGGTAACTGGTCGAAATCTGTCAAATCGACAAGAGAATCCATTACTACAAAAATGCCCTTGTCCTTACCGCTCTAGGACTGATGGGTTTCCTGGCCACAGGGGGGCTGGCCTTGTGGATGTAGCTCTGGGGCTGGGCAGGGGGGCTCAGGTCTGAAAGGTACAACAAAACAGAACATTCAATTTACCATCTTCATTCTAACCTTCTTTTGTTCTGAACGTGCCACAACCAGACAAAATTAGTCCTGAAGATAATGATGCTCTCCATGTAAAATCTGACAGACATCTTCTGGTGGAAGCAGAGTAGAATAAATACTGAGGAAATCTGGCACCTGCAATGTTGTTTGTTTGTTTGTTGTAGGCACAGGTACAATGTATTCCTTGTTTGCTGTAGCACAATTTTATGCAGCAAATAGCAAAGTACTTTATTTCTTTTATTCAAGACCACTTGTTTAAGAAGAGCTAAATAAATACTTTAATTACATTTGTACCCAGCTTTTGTTAAAAAAGTGGTCTTGAATAAAGAGCTTTACTATTTAATCATAATCATTCACAAACTAAAACTGATGAAATCATTCACGGATTTTATACAGCAAGGTACACACTAAGACAGCTCACTAAGCCAGATATCACTAACTCTTTGCTATAATGTACATGTAAGAATACTGTATAATGATCTCACCTGTAGGTGTTGAGTCCCCAGGCTCCTTGAAGACCTCCACATAAGATACAGGGAAGATGCCTTGCCTGTTTCCTATCTGTCCCTCATACCAGTTACTGTCAACCCTCCTCAGGAGAGTTACAATGTCATTCTGTAGGGGAATAAAGAAAAACTGTTTTTTACATTACAGTCATCATCAGCAAAACCTTCACAATGTTATTCTGTAGGGAAATTAAGAATTACGTCAGGTAATAAGATATGCCATGAAACAGTTACTCAAGCAACTGGATATGATTATGATTTGCTTAAGTAACTGTTTTGCTTAAGTAACTGTTTTTTACATTACAGTCATCATCAGCAAAACCTTCACAATGTTGTTCTGAAGGAAACAATACTTACAACACATATTTGGTTTCAATAGTTGTAACAGAATCATGTTACCCATATAGAAGAATGATCTGTAGACTTTGCCTGTACCTTTTTGAGAGAAAGCTCCACTTGTGTCTCTCCTACGAAGCTGTACTTAGCTCTTGCACTGCCCTCTGACCCCTGGCTGGCAGTCTTCTGGGCCTCCTCCAGTGAGGTGATCACCTGGAGTAAAGTTAGCACCACATTCGTGATCAGTTATTCAATACATGATGTTTCAATAAATGTTCCTCTATAGCGTATAACAACAAAATATTCTCTAATCTAACCTTTGTGCATGTAGTATTTTTGGGTATCAAACTTTAAGATATCATATCTACATGCAAAAAAATGTTCAGTGGAATGCATAACTTAAACATCATTATTACAGTTTTACCCAGTCACACAAAGCCATGTGACAAGCTTCACTGGGTCAGTCTACTGAGGAAGACCTAAGACGGAGTAAGAGTGACTGGTCAAAAGCTCTAGGTGAGAGAACTTTATTGTGTTGGATCGAAAGTTTTAACTTAAAACATCATTAAAATTTGGGGGATTTCTGACCTCAATGTAGTTGACAGGGAAGATCCCCACATATCCGTTGTGTTCTCCTTCGTACCAGTTCTTGTCGACTTGCCTGGTCAGGTAGATGACATCTCCTTTCTTAAAGGACAGCTCCCTGTAGGGTAGAGAAAGGATTGTAAGAAGGAGATGACACTTGGCAATAGCAGTTTAGTAGTACTAATTTATGTTTTCTGTATTGCTTTAAAAACAGAATTCTGAGATGAAAAATGTGGTTGACAATATAGCAACCAAAAGTACAGTACAGTACTGGCGTTCTGTATGATTCCATTTAAACAGTCATTGGCTCTTGTTCCTGCATTCATTTTGATACAAAAATGTACACGACTTTTTTCGTACAAGATAGAAAGGATGGACTTACTTTGAGTTCTGAGCCTTGAAGGGGTACAATGCCCTTGCATGTGCTCTCAATCCACTCTGCTAGAAAGATGGAATAAAATCCTTATTTACCAATTATGTAGCACTGGTGGGTGACAAGATAAAGCAAAACAGTTTCTACGATCATACTGCGCATTCTTACAATAAGAGCATGATGAGAAATGGTCTTTCCTCTGTAACCAAGACACACACACTAACACACACAAAGCAAACTGAAGATCTCAATCGCATGTCAAAAATCAAAGTAACTCAAAACAGCAAACATGTGCCAAGGATGTCATGACCGTTCAAGCAGCCACAAAACAACTGGCAAGCCAGAGCTCTGCTGTCAAATTCTACGTAGTACAGCCTGAGTAAAATTCTTAATATGTCAGTACAGATGAATAGTGCCTTTGTTTTAGTAGTAAGTGATTTCTAAGTGCCAGAAGGAGAGATAGGAGGGGAGGGGGGCTGCCCTTGTGCTACCCAGTCTCACCTCGTTGTTGTTATGTGTTGTTAGAGGGAGCGCCCCAACATGCACTGGGCGGACCCGCTGAGCATGCAGGATTTCCGGACTGGCCTCAAAGGAAGGGGGGCTTGGCTGTGGACCAAAAAACATGCAGGGGATGGCCTGACATTATAAGGCATGCACTAATGGCGAAAATTAGATATTAGAGAAGAGCATGGCTTTGTTATGATAAAAACATTCCCCATGCCAGACTTAGACTGTTGATCCAGACATTCATAAAAAAGATATCAATTGTCACATTACGTGTTTGTAAATATGCTACAAAAACAGGAAAAAATACATGCAAGCAGTAAACTACATTGTGTCCATGGTTAATGGCCAGAAAGCAGCTTGGAGGTTGATAATTGTGAAGTACTACTGCAGCTAATACATATATGGGCAGAATAAACTCTAATGAAACTAGAAAAAAATTGAGGTTTGTGGGAAAACCAAGAAGCCAGTTGTCAAAGGCTTTCCTGGGTTTATAACAAGAGGTGTGGAGACTGCAGAATATATTATGCAGTGAATGTTCACACACACGCACAACTAATGCCAGCAGAAGACAGTACAATGTACAAACAATGTAACTACACGTACATGTACTTGATGCTGACCAAGTACATGTATTGGCAAATAGACTGATCACTGGTAGTGCATATCAGAAGAAACAATTTCTAATAATTATCAAATTGAATACAACTAACAACTAAATCAACATTATTGGTATACATAGTTCCCTTTTTACTGAATATCATTTCTCACAGATATCATTTCACTGGTCAATTTTTACCTCTTTCTTGACTTCAATGGAGATCTTGGTTGGTGGTGTGACCTGTGTGTCGTCATATCTGTTACTGGGCACCACGACTGGTCGCTCTGCATTTGCCGAGTGTTTCCTCGCTCGCTGCTGTGCCTCTTCTTCCACCATCTTTTTCCTCCTCTCCTCTTCTAATATCCTCTGGAACCCAACATCACTCAACATGAACAACTGGGCATTCTAGCACAAATACAGGGACATCTTCTAATGTTTGTAAACAACTTTAACTTGAAATGAAGTCTCTTTTGCTTTTTTTGACATCTGAATGATTATGTATAAACACCATTTAAATTTTTGTAATTTCAAAAGATAATCTGAATTCTTGAGGGCATTTTGTGATTGACTTACCTTAGTAAACACACGGAAAATATGCATTTTGAACAATTGTTAATCTGTCTACTGCCACTTAGTAAATAACCCTACTGAGATACCCTTCATTGTAGACGTTCCTATTTGATGATAGACCTTATATGAAACCCTGCTGGTTGCCCTCCCACCCTTTATCTGTTAGCCTGTGGGCATATACAGCATTGCCGGGCAGCTGAAGGTGTCTGGTGTAAACCTCAGGGACAAACCAGGCCTTTTGGAGACGGCAAAATTTGGCAAAGGAATCACCCAAATTTTTACGAGCGGCAAACAATTATGCAATTCATGTACCAGTTGTGAGCAGATGATTTATCATTAATAAAATGGCAGAGATCAAATATTGAATAAACCATAATAAGCAAGACAATTCAGGGCCAAGAATGCTGTTTTGACCAGACTTTGTAAAATTGAAGCAACAGTAACTGTCACGTTACTATAAGGCTAACTTACATGACATATAGCTCTACTCTACACATACAGGTTGTTTATACTTACTGTAATGTATGTTAAATATGGAATAACAAGACAACAAAACTTCACTCTTTAAGACTACAACTACATGACATGTACTGCCAACTCTATGCTAAGGTTATAATACTACTAACGATGTTAGTGCTTTTGATTAATAATTAATAGGTTGAAGAAAAACATATCAATTGTTGAAAGTAGTCGCAAATGAATTTATTGAAATTTCAAGATACAAAATTGCCATTTTCCAAAAGGTCAGTTTTTGGCTCTCTTATATTTGCGACTGCTTCCACAAATTAATTACAAGTTTCTGGCAAAAGACAGCAGATAGTTCACCAGGCTTACATTCAGCTCTTCCTTGCGCTGCATGCAAAAGAGGCAGAAAGTAGCAGAAGAGTTAGTGTCAGAACATTCAACAATGAATCAACAACCGGCACTGCATGTGAGGAGGATATTGGAGTGTTTTTTTTTCCTGGTGTGTGACTTGAATACACCAAGAAAACCCGTGGCAGAGTTAAAATCCTGGCATGAGAGAATTGAACTGGTTGGTACAAAACAAAGTACCACATGATCAGCAGAGTGAAGAGAGTCACATGGTTGCTTTGGACCCAGGGTATACAGTATTCGGTACAGACTCTAAAAACAATTATATCCGTCCAGAATTCGTAAGATGGCAAGCTACAGCCTAACACATTTATGTTGGTTGCAGTGCAAGGAAACTAGACTTAACGGGTGGTGAAGATACATGTAGAGTATCATTCACTCCCCTTACATTCCAGAGAGGTAGGGAATTGCTGAGTACAGTAATGTATAAAATGTTAAATTCCTTACAAGAACACTCGGAGGGGGGGGGATAAATAAGCTTGAAAACTTAAAAAAAAGACAGCTGATACAGGATATATTGTACCATAATAGTTGCTTTGGTACTCCAATTTTAGTCTGCTTTTGTCACCTCTATATTGCTATACTTGATGCCCCCCTCCCCAACTCCTATCTACCATGTAACCATCTTGAACATCTCTTCTATCTTAGTAATATATTGTTCAGACGTCTATTTCGGGAACATTTTTCTTGCTAAGCCCTGAGCAAACTAAAACCAAGATAAGGGTTTGACAATCCCAGAGGAGTCATTGATACAGCTGTTCCAAGATGTAGTACAGTCTTATCAAATGACATACTTACAGAGATAACAATTTGAAAATTACAAACAACGACAAATTTTGTGTTAACATGGTTTAGACGAGGAAAAATTGAAAGCCTAACATATTAGATTATGGTTGTTTGCACAACATGATAATGTTTATGCATCACATGCAGAAGAAGTAATCACTTGGATGAAAACTACATATTATAGTTAACTGTAATAAATGGTTGTGCAACATTTTCAGAAGTGATTATTTGAAGCACTTAAGTTTAAGTTAAAGCCACTAAGTCTTGGGATAAGAAAAATACACAATCATCAGAACTAAATGTATGTCTTAAGAAGGCCTACCGAAATCTTCTTTCTTAGTAAATCCATGCGTGGAGGTGGGTCTGGTGGTGGCCCCTTCCGAACACGGGCGGAAAAAACCATATTGTCAGTCGCCTCCATCCCAAAGCAACCTTCTCAATGGAATGGCGAGGGACTGAGCTCCAAAATGTACAACAACAACTCACACACAGAAAACAGCAATTTGGCCAGGCAGGGCAGATCCTGTTTTGCCAAACATCAGTACTGTTTACAGAAGAGAGTGATCCCTGACATGGTGCAGGTCAGTGTAAGTAAGGCTGGGTAATTCCTCCCATACAGGGGTAGGTGACAGTACTGGGCCAGCATACCGCACAAATCCCTATCATAATACCCTTCAGACTGCCAACAAACATGCCCTTTTTTCACAGGCTCCAGGGAACGCTTCTGAGGGGGGAACTTTGGATCAAAGCATCCATGTCGGATTCACCAAGGTCATCGATCAAATATATGACCCTAGGAAAAGTCATGGGTTACACGGAAGGCGTAGGGAATGCAAATATCCCATCTAAACAATTAGATAAATGCTAACAGAGGCATCTTTGTTGCTGCACTGAACTGCCAAAAAAGCCTTTCAATTATGTGTTTGAACCATCTCCAATAAGGGAGTTACAAGTTTATAGAATCTTTGATCTAAAGAAATGATCTAATCTAAACTAATCTTCACTAACGTATCTAAAGGAATAGTTCTGAGCATGATTAAACACGAGAGATGAATGAAATACTTAAGTCTAAGCGTTGGAAGCCCACAGGAATTTTTCTTACTGATAACGAATGGCTGAAACCACAGGAATTTGGAATCTACTTCTAACCGGAACAGATGACCTTGTGAATCCTTCAGTAGAGGGTGTCACAGATAATTCAACTATCATTGACACTTTTGGACTCTAGTTACGCACAAATCCCTACTACTATTTCTGACCAAATGCTAATTATTATCATGCTACACTGATGTTACAGTACAAGGCTGTTGTGTAAACTGTAGTGTATAACACAGAAAAAATCCAACCCTTGGGATTTCATGGCAGTCTAAGAACTTCAAAGTCAGTCTAAGTGGGTTGTCTGAGATTGTAATTTCTTTTCTTTCTTCACTGGTTCTCTAGCCTTTGCATAAGTTGTTAACAGGGGCAAAATGTTGGTGAGTTACGAGGTGTCTGGGGTCTGTGCGACAAACCTTCTTTTTGGGCAGTGGTGGTACCGGTGGTGCCTCAGTAGTAGGACTTGTTTCTTCCTACATGCAACAGTGCAAACTTCCTGAATTGCAACTCACAACTCAAGCAAAGCTTGCAGCAAGAGGACATCGCAATGAAAATTAAACAAGATCAACACAATCTCTGACACGCAGGCTACAGAATGCTGTTAAGGAATCCTTCTTTTGTCTGAGAATGTTATCAATGCACCTGGGAACAACCCAAGAGGGTTTACACAGTCTTAGAGCTTTAAAACGCACAACCACAGCTGTTGCAAAAGCTGAACACAGACACGCTGAGAGCAGAAGGGGGGTAAGCACAGTGCTACCACTACGGCAGAAGTCGGCTAGCTACGAGAAGGCATTCAAGAATCTCTTCTACTGGCTTGGCCAAGCAACAACTACTAAAGACAGCGCCTAGTCTAGAACTGAGAAGTTTTGTTCCTGTCTGTTACAAACCTTGGGTGTTTGCACCTCCGTCGGTGGAGGGGGGACAGGAGGGGGTGGCACGGGCGGAGGTGACAACTGTGCCTTCTAGAAAATATTCCATCCATTCTGTCAGCAATTGTGCTACTAAAGGAACACCCCTGCTGGGAGAATGGCTGAGTCCATGCAAAGCACATATAGAAGTCATAATGTCAAAGTAAAAAAAAACGCCATGCCATCTCTGATGTATGTAGTCACTGTGATGGCACATGTACATAAAACAACAGTGAACAAATTTTCCACACATAAAACAACCATGCATAACTTCAAAAACAAGTGTAAACAAAAAGCCACACAAAACTCATGATAAAATTTCATTGACAAATGAAATCAAAACTGTTGCATTGTACCTTGTCGTGCATGCAGACTGGAACATATATCATGTATCGGTCTTAAGTGGAAATAATTTTGCCAGTGATTTATAAGTGGATTTTTGAGTGGGGTCCAGGCACACACGTGGTTCCCTAGGACACACCTGACTCCCTGTCTCTCCTTCCCACTGCTGGAAAGCCTCTAGTTCTCTCACATACCCCTCTATCTCTGCCAAAAGGGCATCCACAGGAAATGGGGGTCGTGTTGGGCTTGATCCCCTTACTTTGCGTCGGCCTACTCTTCCCTAGAACCAAGTCCACACACCCAACATTGAGCTAGAAACACCCCGCGCTGTGTGCATGGACTTGCTAAGAGCTTAATTTTACTATTCATGGGATTATACTCTCCAAAAGGGGGTTTATGACTTTTTATCAATGGATGAATGGGTGGTATAAGCTGCACAGATGTCATTATGCACATGCAATGGAATGCAGGCATATTGTGAGCTCTGCTCCTGTTAGTCCCGTTTTATAAGCCAGAATTATTGCTTTAAAACGTCAGAGACAATGGCAGAATCATGGGATGTGGATATTGCCTTTTAAATTAGTGGTTTTGAAGAAATTTACAGTTAGACATTGGATGGATTCTGACCTCTGCCAAGGACGTTGTTTTTTCCCAACAACAACTGTGTCATTTGTTTTTGAAAAGAACACCTTAAAAAGCTATGAATAATTGTCATCTGCTTTTGAGAAAAAAAATCATTTCATAAACTTTAAAATTTTACAGAGACCAATTACTGCCCTGGCAGAGGTTTTCTGTGAATTACTTGTGTTTTGCTTTACTGAAAGAAGAATGCTTTCCATGCTTTTCCTGACGATGAGTAATTATCAAACAACCTATGATGTCTGAGAGATGAGCTATTATAAGCCTTGTTGTTAGGTTTTCAGGGTAATAGACCCTAGGCTTTTTCCTAACACATCGTACATGTACCTGTAGAGACATAATGACTTCCACACGTATACATGACTTTGTACAATATTTCACAACACACTCATGCATTCATTAGGCCACAACAATTTGATTTGTTGGTTCACTGATTTGCCCACTTCGTTTTTTCTAATTTTGCACAAAAAAAACACACAACATTACAGCCTTTAGAATCAACTACAAAATGCTCATATTTTGGTCCCAACAGTTGAAGGAAGTCCCCTCTCTTTAGAGTTGTTACAGTTTCAACAAATCAAATTGTTGTGACCTTATCACCAATGACAAAATTTATAGGATCATGATATAATTGTTACATGAACTGTGAAACAAAGTAGAAATCAGCATCAGAAATGGACATTCAATAATTAGACTTGAGATAAAGTACAATGAACGCACACAAACCTTAGAGAGTAATTTGCATTCAGTACCAATGAATCAAAAGGTAAAATCATGCCAAATATCACATACAGTTCACAGAAACATGAAAAGTGCATAATCATTGTAGTTATTAATATGAGACCAAGATCTGTGACGTAGCTTTTGTTAAAAAAAGTTTTTTTTCACACAATTGGCATAGATTCTCACCTGCTTACATTTCAATGTCTATCGAACACCGTCCTCAGAGCTTCTGATTGGAGCACTTACATGTACTTCTATCTCTTTCAGTGTTCTTGCCAAAAAAGTGACACGAAGGAGCAGAACTCCAGTCAGAAGCTCTGAGGAAGGTGTCTGATGGACATCGAAATGTAACAAGGTGAGAGTATATACCGGTTGTGTAAAAAGAAACCCTGAACTATTTTATGAAGACTGGTACATGTACCACCAGTAGACTAACCTGTCTCCGTTCCTCCTCCCGCTGCCACCTCAGTTCTTCCTCGTTCCTGGACCGTGCTGACTCCATCACGCGCGCTGCGTCCCTGTTGTCCTGTACCTGGTACCTGATCTCTGTCCTCTGGCCCGGCTCTGCTCTGCTCGGCCCGTTAAACTCTCCCGGCATCCCTCCTGGTCAACAGACACAGTCACAATCATGGGGAAACCTTCAGAGCACTGCTAATCCTCTAGAACAATGTCTTTTATCACTTGTTTATATCAATATTGAGACTTTTCTTTTTACACAACAGGTTTATGTTTTCATACCTTTCAGACACCTTCCTAAAAGCTTCTGACTGGAGTTCTGCTTCTCGCAGCTATATGTAGCCAAATTGGATGTAAAACTGGTGCTTTTGTGGCAAAAACACAATCCTAAATGTGGCTAAGTTTGTGGCTCTGTCAGTCACAAGCTCTGAGGAAGATGTCTGACAGATGTTCGAAATGTTAGAAGGTGAGAGACTTGACCTGTTGTGTAAAAAGATTTTTAAAAAGCCCAATACTAGTATCCTATACTGATGAACTTAATGAAATTATTTTCGTATAGTTTTTACCTTAATTGATACTTCATAAGGTAAAAATGCACAAAGAGGTTATAATAAACTTTAACTTTCTGTAAGCATTTTATTTTTACTTTTTCAGTTACTGTAATAGATAATTAAGGACTGGGCAGTCAACTGTGGATGATTCAATATACATTTTACAAATAGTTTTAGCTCTGATACACTAAATTGTGTATTACATTCATTGAGAAATTACCCATGTCTACTACTGTATTAGCTGTATACCTTGAACATGATTGTAAAAAAATGTACAAATCTGTGTATGGGTTGAAAACAAAACCCGCTAACATGCAACAAGGTGACAAGGTACACAGTATGAAAACAAGGAATACAGGAGAGTAAAGGAGAGAACAGAGACAGGCTGAAAAACAAAAACAGAATGAAGGTCACAATTCCCACTGATGAGAGGGAGGGATATCAGTAGGAATTATGCACATCTGGAAAAGAACATAATGAATAGAAAATGGTTTATTCCTATGATTGCCAATCTTTTTGTCATGTGATTTGTTTAGAAACTCACAAATGTTGACCAATAGAAACTGGAACAAAAGGCATCTTTTACTACAAAGTAACTAACAAATTAAGAAAAGGCCACTTTTCAAATTATTAAAAAAGGAAACAAAATGTGGATAAAGAAGGAGCAGTGTTAACAGGTTGGAGTGGGAAAACAGGACGAGGTACGTTTTTGTCGTGAAAGGAAAAATAAAGGAAAGACAGCAAGGTTCATACAGTTTCTCTGCCAACATTTTGTCATTATTTTTTGCAGAAGTGTTCATGTCACACTATTCTGCATGCAGTGATTTTGCAACTTGAAACGCAGAAGCATGATTGTATGAACCTTAAACAGACGTAGCTGGCAAAGAGCATTTCAACAGAACTGTACCTGACACCCCAACCTTAAGCTGAAGTACATACCGCTCTCCGGCGAGTAAATACTCCGAAAATATTCATCCAGCGACCATTTGAAGGTGGCGTTTGGGCTTTCTGGCCCTGACAGTTTACAAGTGAACACAGACAATACAAAACAAAACAAACACAACAAATTACCCATGCTGCAGCACAACAACACAGAAGGTATATTACCCATGATTCAGTGCTGTTACAGAGCTGAACTATGGGTGGCAAAGAAAAGAGTGGTTGACAGCATTAAGCTACCCATCATGCAATGGCAAAGCGAAGCATGATGGGTACTCATGAACAGAATTCATAGTTACGAAGATTCAGACCAGTGAAAAAACATGACTTAGAAAGACCCCATTCACAACATAAACTGATGCATGAGGTGATGCAAAAGTATTGAAACCAAGTGGGTCAACATACATTGTACATGAATTTGATCACGTATCAGACTGAGCATGAAAGGCGATAGGAACCAGAAACTTTAAGGTAACATTTGCAAAGCAAATGCATAATGTTTACCTTCGCATATGGTCTGCTCTGTACTGTTACTTTTTACTAATTTAAAAACACATCATATATGTACATGTATATGGTGACAGGAGTCGAAATCCCTCGTTATAAAATTGCAACATGATGTAACCCAACACCAGTCACCAATACCATGGTGACGGACGTCTGGTTCAGGTCATTGACCTTTATTTGTTTGTGAATCCGGAGAAGACGAGGAAGAAGAAACAGAGCAAAGACAATATGTTTCCTTCTGCGAAGGTAAACATAGAAATATCGGCCTTTTTATTTGACTGACCTTTTACTTTTGTTGGTGGTGCACTCTTCACTCCCAGCTGCTCGGCGGCTGACAGACGTTTACCGGTACTCGTGGAAGAGGCCGACACCCTACTGGTAGATGTGGTCCTGGTTGCTCCAGGGATCGGACCAATCACAGGCTCTGAAAGAAAACATATATTGATGCAATGCATGTGGAAAAAGGCATGTTGGTTGTAACTGCAATGATGATTGGTTGAAACATGATTGTTATTGTTAGTAAAGGTGAGAGATAGTGATATCTACAAGATGATTTGATTAGTAAAAATAAAGTAATGCATGAAGACAATTGATAATGTATTTGTTTTACTGCTGTGCATTGAATGTTTAATTTGAATGTTTGGACAGCTTTTATCCAGCTTATATCTAAGCCAGCACAAACCTGAAACATTACTTTCAGCAATAAGAAACTGTTTTTTTCCTTACTGTCAAAAGAGACAATAGCTAGTTACCTGTTTCTTTGAAGTACCTTGCCTTTAGTTAACAAAGGGTACTGGCACTTATGCATGGTACAGAAAAGTGTTTTTGGTGAGACTACAGTTTTCATGGCTCACTTATGCAGAGCACAGAAAAGGTTTTTTGGTGAGACTACAGTTTTCATTTTAATTACTGTCATTCATGTACTTGACCTATGGATGTTGCACGTCACAATATGTAAACTGTATCAGGGATGTCCTATGGTTTGAACAATAGTCAATATAGATTTGGAAAGACTCGAAATTTGGAAATTCTCTTTATTCACCATCCTAGCTTGTTTGTTTGCAAAAAGCTTAGTACTTTCTCTTTCAAGGACATCCCTGTGAAACAGTTACTACATGATATGATACTATGAACTAGTGGGATGGTAGGACTTCTAACTAAAAAAAAACAAAACTGAATGACACACGGACACAACTGACCAATTGTGACAATGTCATGCATTTATTGTGGCAAAATGGTGAGGCGACAAAATCCAACCTATACAACTTAGAGAATACAAACTACATGTATACCACATGTACAATATATAATTATAATATATGATGGTGAGTCTGGTATGAAAAATACCTGAAAAAAGGCAACTAATAGTACATAACGGGAACAAAATCTGGTGCATCTGTGGTGATGGAGAGTCACGGTAAGCATTACTTAGTAAGCTGGGACCGTCATCCTGACTTGCGACATCACTACCTCTGCTAATATCCTCGTTGTCCAGCGGTAAAGACTCCAACCAGATGAGGGTTTCCACCAGTTTGGAGGTGCGGTGGTGTTTGGGAGGCAGTGGAGGCTTCCGGCGACGTATCGTGGACATCTCTTCTGACGAAAGGCTCACGCTAGGCGAGGATGAACGTTCCGAGATCTTGACTTTGTTTTCATTATCTTCTTCTTGTGCTGCATCAACACTTGCTGTGATTTTATTGTCGTCTCCAGTGACTACGTGTAGCTTTCGTTCCATCTCTAGCGGCATCTCTGCTGTATCACGGTGCCCCAGCGTTTCCCCCTTGCCTTCTGTTGTTTTTAAGAAATCTAAATGGTTACCTATAGCATGGCTGGAAGCAGATTGCCGAGCTCTAAAGGGAATATGGTAGATCAGATGGCTGTCAGACAAACTTATAGGGAAGGTCTTCTTGATTTTTGGCGGCAACTTTGGCCTGAGGTTCCCATCATCGTCAGGGGGTGGGGTAACCACTGGAGGCTTGTCTTCTTCATTGGGGTAGTATTCTTCTGTCGTGGTGGATTTACTGTCTGAAGACTCTTCCTCCTCTGGGGCTGTCTCTTCCTCCTCTCCTTGTGAGATGTCTTGGTTCAGATCTTGAAGGTTGTCGTAGATTTCTTCTGTTGTAGCTGTGGTGCAGGTGCTGCTTGCAGAACGCAGTATGATTTCGTTCCGGTCCAGGGCAAAGTGGACTGACTTCCCGCCATGCGGACTGACATACTTTTCCTTTAACGTTCTGCTGTCGTCTGAATCGTACGCAAAGCCGCTGGCCTGCGCGATGTACATGTCTCTCGTCATCTCAGCTACTTGTAGCGTTGAGGCTGTGGATGGATGGGAGGTTGTAGACTCTGTGTCGGAAAAAGTTCTTGTCTCCTGGCACAACTTCTCCATCTTCTTGATGTTCTCGCTTTCTGAGTCGGAGAAGCTCTCGAACCGTGGCCTGGAGGAGAGACTTGCCCTGTCTTTGACTCGGCAGCAGCGCCCGGTCAGCGGAGACATGGTGGAGAAATACTCCACAAGTCGTGTGAAGTTTCGCGACCGCGAACCTGACTGAAGTACTTCTGCTGCATACATCCGGTAGGATACGATATCCGGTGGGCTTCTTGGAGGCGAGAGGTTCTCTGATGTTACAACCTCCTTCTTCCTACAGTTGGATTCTGTCTCTTCACCATCCTCTGTCATCACGTCCTCATCTTGAGCCTTTAATATGGGTGAGAGAACATCCTCACTTGGTGGTTTGGAAGCTGGCCTGATGTAATCTACTCGTATAGGGTTTCTAACAGGGCGGTTTGTGACTGTTGCAGGATTTTGCTTCTCGATTGTTGGCGTGTCATTTTCGTCTGAAGCTGCATCCAACGTCTCCTCTTCACTCTCAATTTCGTCCTCATCTTCCTCGCTTCCCGTCTCATTTTCGGTGCTTTTGTAATCCTTATCGGAGTCATCAGAGTCCACGCATTTTGCCCCGGACCTCTTCGGAGTGTCCTTACTCCTTACTGTTACAGTTGGAACAGAGCCTGTTGAAGGGGGACATGCTTTTTCACCTGATTGGTTTGCTTGAGTCTCGGCGTGGTTTCCAGAATTGTGAAACGCACCTGCGATTCTGTCGTGCTCCTTGCAAAACGCGTCGTGATCCGCAAAGAACTGGTCCAGATCCGACTCAAAGCTGTCGTCGGAAAAGCTGGGAAATTTCTGACGCCTGGCCGACTTGACAGGCGACATTCTGTCGTCTATACTGTCCAGGCTTTTGGAATGGGAGAGCTGGGACAGTCTGGGGTTGGTGCGGAGTGTAGGGGAAAGTTGCTCCATGTAAATCTGCTTATTGTAGGGTTTTGCGCGGCGTGACTTTCTGCGGGACTGTCGTTTAGAGGATAACTGCGTGCGCATGGTGCAGCTGTGACAGTTAGGAAGCATGCGTGGCATTTCCATGGACGTGGTTAGTAAGACTTCTATGCTCTCGTCACTAGTTGACTCTTCCTCTGCAAAAAGGGTTAGCAAGACAGCTATTAGCATGGCACTTACCCGACCTCTGCTTTTTAAAGTTGTCATGCACAGACAGGCGTAATTTAAGTCAAACTCTTTTTTCTCTCAATAGGTTGATGAATGTTAGACATCAAGGTAAACAATATTTAAAGACAAACCAACCTCTACTTCTGGGTAAATTACAGAAATTACTTCCGGACTGGGCATAGAATCCTTAAGTACATGGGACCCCGCTCTGCCACTAGCAGTTCCTATGTCTTACTCTCATTCACATAACAGTTACACTTACAAGTCTTCAACTGTTTTTTTCCAGTAACTTCACGTGTGATTAGTGTCCACTTGTGCTCTCACTTCATTTAAGTGACACCGAAGAAGAGTGATGGATGTCACTCAAAATGTCAGGAAGTAAGCTCCATAAGTTACCCAGTAGTAGAGTTTGATATGCCTTTAAATATCTTTAATTTCTTTTTCGTTTTGCCAGAAAATACAGGTATTAGATAACTTTTACAACAGAGGTCAGGTAATTGGAGTAAGAAGCAGTGTTAACATGGTAATATGTGTCAGCCTGTTAATCACTAGTACACACATATCCTGAAACAATGCTAAATCTCCAATGTACACCCATGCTTGTAACATTGTATGTGTAACATGTAGTAAAAAAACAAGATCACAGACTATGCTCACTGGAAAACTGAACAACGTATCTATTGGCAAAACAAGACAGAAAAATGTAACCAAAGGTGTACGGCAAAGCTTCTTTATCAATGATAATGCATGTCTTCATGTTCTGTTGGAAAGCTGTGCTACCAAATATTGCCAGTTCAGCACCAAGGACAGGGTATATGCTTTTCCTTTGTTAGTAAGAAAGACACTGAACAATGTAACCAGACATTTACAGCAAAGCTTCTTTACCAATGGAAATGCATGTTCATTTTCCGTTGGAAAGCTGTGCTATAGAATATTTCAGCACCAAGGACAGGGTATATGCTGTTCCTTTGTCAGCAAGAAAAACATTAAACAAGTTCGTAAAATCTGTTTCTCATAATTCACAGAAGAAGAACTTGTCATTGCTTATTGATCCAACATTCCTCCTGAACACATACATAACATTTTTTTGACTGTTCCATCTGAGCATAGCTGTAGGGGTGTTTGAAGGCCTTTTTTTTAACCTTTCCATTACATGTGTATTTCAACTGCTATATCCAACTGTGGTCGTTTATTTTTTTTATTCAGTCCCAACATTTATTTTCAAAAATGATCCTCATTTTTCCCCTTCTTAACTGTACAAAGAGAACAGCCTCCACCTAAGACCACCACATATAGACAGAGAATTAAACAAAAGATAATGCCCATGCATTTCTGAGGACATTAAGCATACCACTCTACTCAAAATAAAAAGCAAAGTAGGAGGACAAATATACAAGATGCTTAACAGGAAAAACACAATATAGTTGATATTGTCCTGGAGAATTTGTGTACTGAATGTATACATATCCATATGGATTAAATACTGCATTTAAGTGCTATGTAAGCCTTTTTCTACAAAGCCATCTAGCATTTAATCTTGTCCGAAACATTTATCAATTTACAGGGTTTTACAAGATGTTAATGCTCATATGGTTAGCTGCAATGTCACAACAGCAAGCTTTTTGTTATGCTTAATGCAAATAGATTACAAAATAAACTTGTCAAAAACAATAAGACATGGTCTCTGTGGATTTATATGGAACCTTTGGAGTAGGTAGGCTAAAAAAAGGCAAATACCCTAATCGAGCCCTAATAGGACAGAACAAAAAAGCCTTTCTGTCATTAGATATTGAGTCTTGTATAATATTTCTGTATAATTTTCATAATTTTTAATCTTGACTACTACTTTTTACACATAGAGACATTCAAGACAAATAACATACCACAGAGACAATGCCTGAACAAACTTCCACGTGTTATAACATTTCACAGCAATCTTACCCCGAGATATTGGTGCTCTGTACTGGACAACCTCAGGCTCAAAAACAGAATCATCTATAAATGCATTCAAAAGGAAACGTCAAGCAAAAATAAAGCATATAAACAACCCTAATATCATCATGTGACACTTCTGTGATTCTTTGAAGCCTTGTTTTTTTAATGTTCCAGATTAAAATCATAATGTACATTATACATACATATTTTCTCACCAAAGACACGCCTCGAAAATTTCTCGAAATATTTTATGACATTTATTTCTGGTGTCAGAAGAGTCACTCTGAAGTTGTTACAGTACTACAAGTTAGCATACTCTTTAGCAAGCTGGATAAAAAAACTAACACAGTGACTGCATAATCAAAATTAGCCAACCAGAACAAACACTGCAACCAGAAGCTGCTGCCAAGCTGTATACCACGGAATGGACATAACATCCAACTTATGTTAAACAATTAAAGTCAAAGCAATGACAACCACTGCAAAGCAATCAGAATTATCAATACTCAAGCATATAATAAAAAAAAGCTTTGCAAACACTCACAAAGCACCATGCAGAAGAGCATAGCCTGATACTAGTATGAACCATAACCCAAAATAATACCCCTTTGGTCCTATTGTAACTACTTCCTACAATCTACTGGTATAGTCCAAGTCTTTATGTTGAAACAGTAGAATTGAACCATCTCAGTAGACTATAGATTATAGCAGTAACCTTTCACCTTTGCCCCCTAACATCTCACTTGCCCCTCTCACCTTTGTCCCCTAGCCTCTCACCTTTGCCCCCTAACCTCTCACCTTTTGGTTTCTCAGGAGCTGCTTTCCTCAGCCCCATGGTGGGGATGTCCCCTCCTGACTGGATCTGTTTGTACAGCTCTCGTGATGGTTTCTCCTCCGCCTGGCTGTTGGCTGTCTCCCCCTGCGCTGCCTTGGTCACACTCACTTTTCTACAGGCAAGAAATAACACTGAATTAGCTTGCTGACAAGTCTCCATTCTTGGACATCATCAATGCTTCCAGAGATATCTGAGTATTTCACATGTTTCAGGAGGTATGCAATCTTCTGCTTCCTTATTTTTGCCCACAGTGTCCTCTAACTCCCTCTGGCTCCTGATTCTTGGACCTTTCTGCCATTCTGTCTGTTAAAGCTCCCCCACCCATGTGCTGTCAACCTACACTTGTCCAGACAAGCTACACTTGTCGCACACCCAAAATAGTACTTCCATACCCAGAAGTGATGACAAAAAATTGCATTTATATTAGGATTGCATGTAGTAGATGAAGAAAGTAACACAGAGCCTCCTTGCAGTTTCATACACAACTGCAGCACATCCTGCACACTTACTCTAACTATACACATGCATGCATGGGTAAGAATGCTACCAAAGTGCAGATGTACGTGTTTGAAAGTACATTGTAACTATACTCACAGTGCCTGCTTCACATTCTTGTCTTCCATGTATGGGTTGTATATGGAGCTCTGTAAAGTAAGACAATTGTATAGACTTTTGTGAACAATTCCACTGTGTTGTATGCCAACCCCCGCGATCAAACATACACTGCCTTACATATGTAAAAAGCAGGCAGAATAAAATTATTAATTAACTTTTCAATCTGATTTCACAAACACATTTTCAACAGTTCATTCCCCACCCAATTGATCCCCACCGTAGATTAACAGGTAGTCCTGATTTTGACGCTGAAAGGAAGGCAGTACGTCAAAAAAATTGAATCAAAACAGAGAGAAGGATGTGAATCAAATCATTCAGCATCTTTGGTCTACAAGTGCACATGCACATGCAGGCATGCAAACCTGGAAGATAAAAAAAGAACAGAGGTGCATTTGTGATTCACCATGGAGCACATGAATGTAAAAGTACATAATGACATGCAGAAAACTAGCCTGGGTGTTGCCTTTTTAACTTTAGGTCATGCTCTCTGTCACTTCTGTACCAAAAAGACTGGGCCTGCACATATTCTATCCATCTACTCTGGTGATGATGACCACATAATGAGCTAAATAAATACAACTGTCACAAGCTTGGCACTCACTGGGCTCTTCTGATTGGTTGACCCCATATTACAACTGGCCAATGAGTGTGCCTGTTCAAATTCTGAACAAATATTCAAATGACAGACAGATACAACATGTGCGGGCCCAGTCTTTTTGGCAAGGAAGCTACAGAGAGAGAACTTAATTAAGCTAAAAAAGGCAGAGGCATCCAAGCTAGAAGAAGACAGGAGATGGAATGATGTGACAAAGACTGTACATTAACATTGCACAGCTGGTGCAGAGATGGAGGGGAGAACTCTCCCTCATGTAGGGCCTAGCAGCAGGAAAGGAATGCCAAGATTGAGACCATAATTGAGGATGAACAATCTCTAATGAGTTGAAGTGAGGAAGAGGGAAAACTCATCACTCAATCTGATTGGTACATGTAATACGTGACCACCTGCTATCTACTGCTACATGTAGCAAGTACAAGTAGTTTGCTACTACAGTCTGGATGTGTCACACTCTGATTCGCTACGCATACTGTGCTCCAAACTGGTGCTTCTTCTACTCCCTCCATGGTTTGATTATGATGCACACACTAAACTACTTTTAGCTGATTTGAACACTCACAGCAGTGCATAGATGTCATCTCTAAATCTCTTCTTTGTTATCTTTTTTTGTATCATTAATTAATAGTTTTTTATAGATTTATTTTTTACACGAGGGGTTATTAAAAAAGAAATTCTTTGGATTGTCACTCTTATGGGGCTAGGAAAGTCCTTGGCCTGAATACAGAGTGATATCAAAGTTGACAAGTACAAAATGTAGTTCAGAGGAATAATAATATCACAGAACAATGTATGACATTCTTGCAGTTTAGCTTTTAGCTGCTAGAGGGCGTATTTTACCTGTATAGGTATGCTGCATAGCCAATACTAGTACATGTAGTTTAAAGCTTTCTTTGTGCTGTACTGGTCAAAATAAGGAATGAAAGGAAGCATTTCCTGCTTCAATTTTTGACTCCTGATGACATCACAACACTGTTGAATGTGTACTGAGGGAGCCGATCACAGGTGCTCTATCATCACCCATACCTGCTTGGCCGCTGCTTCCCTGCCCTTATCAAGTATGGAGGATTTCCCTGGCTCATAGTCCTCTATTCTAAATGGGAGCTGCATGTAGCAGTGGGGAGAGGGGGCAGAGAGGAGAGAGGAGAGGGAAAAGATGGAAATGTAGTCACAGCTTAACCTGGCTGGTTTCAGGAATGGACAATAAAAAATTGTCTTTTTTTGGTAATTATTACAAATCTCACTGCACACTGCACGCAAATATGGTCAGCAAACTTTACACGTATACATATGCCAGAAACTGATTAATATCTGTTCTTGCTGTGTCTAAATCTTTTTATATATAACATGGACAATAGTCCATCACGAAAAGAACACAATCACACGTTGATGCATTTAACTGATTATTGAGAGCTTTGATTGGAGTACTAAGTAATCAATTTGTTTGCACATGAAATCTTTGATTCACAAAATCAGTGTTGATATGGATCATTGGTGTTTTGCTTGAATCATGTTTGGATTTCACACGTCACAAGTACACACGCCATGCTGAAGAGCAGCTGTACCTTGTCCTAGGACCTTACCGGCTGTTCTTTCTCTACTAGGAACTGATACCACAGCTCATCTTCTAGGCTGGGTCTACGTTCCTGTGAGTGCTACAGGAAGGAGGGAGGGCAAGAGAGAAGGCAAGGAGGAGGGAAGTGGAGAATGGAAGAAGAGTTAAAAGAGGGCTGCATGGTACTGCACAGTCTGTGTTGGATATGAGAATATGCACATGACTCGTATTTTGTATGTCAGGGCTTGAGGGCACGACGCCATCAACGCTACATGTATTTATGATAGTAAAATGTTCAAGATCTTCAGAGTTTCTTTTACAATAGGATTTCATATGTACCATTACCAATGGTAAAACATTCCACCTGCTTTTACAAATTAAAGTAGTTCTGGTTCTTGAAAACTAATGAAAGTCTTCATTTTGCTGTATTTGTGTGTGAAGGATAAGTAAAGCACCACACCATACTGTGAGGGATAAGTGCGTCATTCATTAAATCATGTTGACGTGAAGGAAATGAGTTGTTGAGAAACTTGTTAAATGTTATGAGAAAAAAAATAAATTCAAATAAAACACTTATCATACTGTATTGAGAGCCTGTAGTGGTTGACATTAGAGATGAATAAATCAGAAATAGTCACATTTAAATTGCATCACACCTGACCATCAGAAACTACAGTCACCAAGATACTACAGGACGAAAGCTCACTCAAGTCACCTACAAGTATTCTGATTGTACAAGGCAATGGCCATTTTTACATATAGCTGGATGGGAAGAAAAGGAGTGACCACTACACTAGAGTACAAAATACACAGAAGCCAGCAACAGCTACAGGTAAGGCAACGGCTGAAATTGAGAAGAAAGGAAGTCATAGTGAAAGAGACTGGACACCAACAGATCATTGTGTTCGTCACTGATCAGTGATAAAAATAACACCAGCAAGTCACCTGCAATTAAAGCAGAAAAGCTAGCATACCATCAAAGTTCATCAGTCATGGCATGTCATATTATCTTAACTGTATCCCCTACCAATTGTGCAGCCGTCAACCTAGAAATACACCTTAGCATTAAAGCACTAAGAACTACAGTCTCATCACATGCATGAGGTATACACAGTTGAGAAGATACACTTACACTTAACAACAAAATTATTCATCATATTAATCCCTAATACACTAGGCAAGAGTATGAATAATTTTGTTGTCAACTGTTCATGTATCTATTAAGCACAGTTCTTACCATGACGTCTTTTTCGCAGATGATAGGACAAACACACTTCAGTGTCTAGCATAATTGTTCTTGAAGTACATGTAGATTACATCTAAAAATGTGTACACAGCATGGTTTGTCAAATCATTCACTGAGAAAAAGACATCCTTTCATAGCTTCTGCAGATTTGCTAAGGCCTACAGTTCATGTGTAAGACCAGTGGTTATTCAGTCTGCTCTAAGACTTAACAAATTGGCCATGGCCAGTCAATTATACCACTGGGCTTCAACAAAAACTGCAGCTCTTAGAAGTGAGATATTTACAAGTGCCACCAGAAGCGTTTGCCGTATGTGCTTCGTAGCAGTTGTTCTTTGAGGGTGGAAAACTGTCTTTGTGTCTCGGAGAGAGAAAAGAGAAACGAGGATATTAAAGACAGCCAAAAGTACGTCTCTCCTTACGTGGACTGCTTGGTGCTGTGGGGATGAGACTGAAGAGACTGAAGAAACAGGTTCAGCTTTTGCAATTTCCAGGTTTGCTCGCTCCAGGGTTCGAAGGTCTTCCTCAAACTTGTCCATTTCTCTGCTTTTTCTCTGCAGACGTGTTAATATTGTCACTTGTACGCATTTCTTAGGGTTAGAGAGATTGGAGCTTACAGTCAAACCTGTTCAAGGGGCCACCTCTAGCTCTGCAAGGACCACCTGGCAAATGTGACCACTTTTTGTGGTCCCTTAGATAAAATTTCTCCCTGACACAAGCTTGCATCACAGATCCTGTATATAATGACCACCTGTCTACACAGACTAGGTTTTATCAGTCCCCTGAGTGGCCTTCCTGGACAGTTTTGACTGTAAACTATTAGCTTAAGCATCATCAGAGTATCCATCCCCATCCCAGATCTTTCTAAATTAATTATCATAAAAACCAACAAACTACAAGTTTTTTAAACTTTTCCCTTTCCCATAGATGAAATAGATGATCTTTTTGTTGGAAAATAATTCAACATTTTTTACATAACAGTCCTACATTTTTGCATACATTGTATGCATGCAAACTTTAATGCTAACATGTATTAGAAGGTAGGACTCACAGGTTTGCCTGGCTTCCCGAGTGCACCCCTCCCTGGTGTGTAGTCCTCGATCCTCCCAGGGTTTACTGGAGCCACTGTGGGAGATCTTCTACCACTCTTGTCACTACTGGAGGAGAGCACACAACAAATGTTCAGAACTTCCCTTCAAGTTTGTCTACATGCACCAGTGAGATTATATGTTATACAGGGGATTCCACTTATTTGTATATCTTTTAATTGTATATTTCGGGTAATTGTATAGAATTCTAAAACACCAAACCATTTACCATTCACACCATTGTAAAAACAATGCATAATTGTATAGCGCATTATCGTATATATTATCTTGTAATATACAAAGACGGAGAAAAGGCTTTTGAGATGAGTGCTATATTTTCTGCATGCCAACAGCAAGCTTGAACTTTGTTGCCTTTTGCCTAAATGATACTTATTGTAACAGTTCTGTTTTGCTGATAGGATACTTTTTGTGATGTTATGATATTAGACTGTATAATAATCATACATTTAATAAATATATGTTTATTGTCTTCAAAGACAGTAAGTAACAATGAAATACAAAATGTGTGTATTGAATGAGAGAGGACAGAAGGGTCACACTGATAAAATGAAAAACTTAAAGATGGCCAAAAAATAAAAACTTTTGGATAAGAAATGTACAATGTAGTGAATTTTGTGGAGCACAAAAAATAAATAAATTGTTTGGAGCACATGTTATGTAGTAAGACAGCAGGATGTAGGATGGTAGCAGGAGAGATCAGTCCTGTAGTAACTGTTGTTGAAGAGGTCTTGTGACAGCTGCGTGCGGCTACGTGGTGTGCATGCATCCACCTGTTGTTGTTGTTACTACTGCCAAGCCTAGCGTAGCGCGGCTCGTATGAAATGCTGGCCCGGTTGGGCTTGGCCTGTGCGGTCGTCGCAGATTCAAACTCAGTCGGGGAGAATTCACCACTGTACCTCATTCTGAAGGATTCGTCTGTAAAGAAAAGAGAGTACATTTCTGTCAGGAATCTGTTTTATATGAACATAGATGATGTATCCAACATCATCGTACATTTCTGTTGAAGCAAACCTGTACAAACGTTATATGATTCCGTTAACAACAGCATGGCAGCTTCGACGTTAGAGTTACAGTAGCAGAGATGTAGCAGAGTAGTGATATTCACAGAGAATGTAGTTGCAATTGTCAATGCAACACAACGTCAAAACAACACACACATTTCATAGTGTGATTTTTAAGAGTCATAGAAGAAGCATTGTGATGAGTGACAATCAAGAACAAAATGTGAGATTAGAGTCTGTTTTGGACAATAATCATGGTTGCATCACAAGGCAATAGTCAGTCAAGACACTGCACAAACACACAGATATAGAAGGCCACAGTCTCAAACTTTTCATTGTATCCAGAAATTCAATCTCTTTTGGAAAGAAGCCACAGATAATCATTCCCTTTCCATTCGGGGCTGCTTGTTTTGAAAACAAATGCAATGATCACATTGGCGAGTGTGAAAGATTTGTGACAAAAATTATGTCTTCTTTACCTTCCTCTTGCAATTGGACCTCTCCTTCTACTTCTACAATGTACGTGGATGAGGTAGGATTCGAAGGTGCGAGGAGCCAGCAAGATGTGCAGAAAAGGAGACAAGAAGACAAACAGAACAAGCTATAATTGGTGACAGGAAGCACAAAAGTTGAGCCTACATCCAGCTCTACTAAGACTAAGTACATCTAGCAGTTGCTGAGTTCAAGGACTGGTAGGACACTAGGGACAGAACAAATGAAATCGTTATAACTGTAACATGTACTCAGGGCTGTCTCCAGGACTTGTCTCTTCATCCAGAGATGGAAATTTGCTTGAAAAAAAATTCACCCTGTCCATCCCGAAAATCTCAACTTCATGCCATAAAGATATATTTTTGTCAGCTTAAAATGACAGATGGAATTTTGCATACAAGAATGCCCAAGAATGAGTCGCTCAGACGAACATTTAAAGCTGGAGACAGCCTTGCATCTACTGTAGCTGAAAGCAAAGCTTGGGGAAAGCAACAGTTTTGAACAAAACAGCAATGACTCTTTAACATAGAACAAGATGACTTTTAAACAATGGATGATAAAGTAACGTACATAGATAGAGAAAATGTCCTTATTCAGCCATCAAGAAAAACAAAATTCACATTTTTTCCTGATGGCTACAAAGAACACTATCCTCCAACAACTTCTACAAGCTTTTCAAAAGAGTGTGTGCATACATGTAACATATCAGAATGACAGTAAATCTGCTTCAGTAGCTCAGTAGTCTTAACCCTTGTCCTGCTGTGCGCAACATATGTCGCGCGGCACATACAGTACCATCTATATAACACCCTGCATAGGTACGATTTGGGGGTGTTTCTCGTGCAACGCAACGCACCGCAGCGAAACGCAACGAATGCGGAAGTAACTATGCCACTGCAGGGCAAAAAAAATTGGGGGTCTATGATCTAATTAAGACATGAAATTATTGAAAAATATTGTGCCAGGAATGCCAGCAGGACAAGGGTTAAGATTAAAGCAAACACCAGGCAACTTTATGCTCGAGGACTAATTCTACAAGCAAGCTTGTCTACGTTACTGCAACTAATATATGGAAACACATGCACTACAGGAGATATCTACATCTACATGCAGACCACACAAGGTACTCTAATTCTAAACACTGCAGTTTGCTGCTCACTTAGGATAAAGTACAACAACTACACAGACAGGAGTATTGGGGGCCCGACAGGGTTGGATTTGTCTTCAAAAATCAGTAGTTTTAAAAATCAAATCATAAATTTTTTGAACTGATTAAAAAAACTTGTGAGAGTTACAGGGATGTGATTGTTACACAGATTTTACCTTCATACATGATTAGTGGTTCCAGACCTAATAATGAGGAACAAGAATTATAGACTGATTTGTTTTGTGAAGATCAGAACCATTGAACTGTATACCCTGTACAAGCCCCCATAAGCCATACCAATGGAACCATGTCATAATGTGTAATTTTTCATTCTAACTGCATCACATACTTTTTATTTTTCACACAATTTGAGGTATAATGTATACGAAGTTGTACTTAACCACCAAATTGATTTTTTCCATTTTTTTCATTTTTTTTCAGCTGTTACTCTTCTCAAAAAGCACAATTTTGTCAACGGAAGGTTATAACCTGGATTTCAGCACCAAGGACAACGCCCAAAACCCATGGTGTTAAAGTAAAAGTGATCTCGAACTGAAGGTTTTTTTTTTTGGTTGTTGCAAAGATTGTGAAGGGATGGTCTCCAGTTGGCATGGCTTGTCCTACAGAAGGCACACTCTGTACCTCTGTATCTGGTTACATCTTTATCATCCTCAGGAAAAGAGTAAGTAGGCTTGTAGGAGTTTTCCAGGTCTGGAAGAGGTGACATCATGTGAGTGACCCACACTGAACATGCTGGATATACGCAGGACCAAGCATCCTGTTAGTCCCTAACTGTAGGCTTCAGACATATTCCTCAAGATTGCTATCATTCCTTAGGAGAAGCAAACTCAAGAAATACTTCTAAGCCTTGGGATGGGTTGACTGGGTTTGTCTCTACCTACATGTACTGGTGACAACTCATGGATGTTGACTTCTGCATTTGCAAAATTAGAAGTTCAACAAAATTTGTGACATCCTTTCCATCTGGACAGAAGAACACTTTTTTTCAGCAGAGAAGTTTGAACTTGAATGTATCAGCCCAAAACTTTGTTCTGGAGAGCAATGTTTAATCTTATTGAAATGTCGCCAAGGAATAGAACATTTTTTTTTGTTTCAATAACAGAAGGTTCAAGATTAAAGTGCAGAAAAACATTTGAGTTGCCACCAGTCTTTCATAATTTTCTACCACTGACAGTAACTGTAACAATAAACTACAACTTCTACAAACAGTTTGTCTCCTAGTTTGTTTTTTCTTCATGCCATGCATACATTCAAGTACATGCTAAGCATACAGCAAGGCCCACCGGCAAGGATGCAGAAAGAGGAAGCTTAAAGTTTAACTAAGTAGGGGGAATATGCTTGTATGGCAGCAAGTGGTTGATTGTCTTTCCTTGATCCTTGCACTGTTATAGTCAGATTGAATATTTATCTTTCCTCTGTAGTACATAAATTTTGTACAATGTATAATCAAAAGTCTTTGCAACAGTATAGACTTTCTCCTTATCCATATATAACAAGGCAAGGTTCAAAGAAAAACACCCAAGTTTGGAAGGAACAAGTCAACTTGAATGGAGCTGGAAGATATCAGAGGATTTTGAGATGCTGAAAGAAAATAAAGGGTTGAGTTTAGACATCAACACAAAAAAAGATGTACGTTTGCCTAGAAAGCATGTCAATATATACAGAAAACCTAAAGTCAAAGATCTCAATGGATGACTTTGAGAATGATGAGAGTACATGTATGGCCTAGAGATGCAAGTGTCAGGGCTGAAAAGGGAAAAAAGGGAATTACATGACACTGTGGACCTTTGCACGCTCACAACGTATGACACAGTTGTCAAAAACTGAAAATACTGAAACTGAAAAAGGATTGTACCATAATATACATTGACACAAAATAATCACTACAGATGCATGACAACCATTCCCAATATTTCTGACTGCACTGAAATAACAACAAACTGAGAAAAAATAGAAACTATGGTTACCATTTTTTGGGATGAAGATTCTTTATACTAACTTTCTACACACTCAGTATATGTACAATCATAACTTGTAAGTCTATGAGAAGTTTAGTGACTAGTGGCACATGTCAAGTAAAATCTACTGTCATTATACTACATGTATTTTAAACTACTGTAACTACAGGGCAGGCTGAAACTGTTAATGTTACCTTCTCTATCGGGTCTGAGTTTGTTGAATGTGGGATGATTGAGGAGTTCTATGATAGCAAAAAAATAATGAAGAAATGAGAAATAGAAGGAGAGAGGAAGCGACAGAAGAAGTTGCAAAAGAGAGAAAGACAAGCAGAAATAAAGATGATTGCAAGAAAGGAAAATGACTAATGGTAATACTGGATATGCTACCTCTAAAAGAGATTGAAAAAAAAGTACAGGGGTTTGAAAAATGTATTGCTAGACTATCTCTGGATAAGACTGCATAGGGATCCTTGCTTTGTTGTTAATTTCTTCAAGAAGTACTGTACAAATGTAATTCACTTTATGTTGAACTTCATGGTAGCAAAATTTCCCTGTCTGAGAAAAATGTAGGTGTTCACGGGAGGGGTCCACAGACATGATTTGTTAGCAGTAATGATAAGTTCACGGTACAGAAATGACCATGAAAACCGTGAGCATGAAAGTACCACGAAAAAATCAATTCGTGGACTAAATGTAGCTCATCATTTTAAGGGTTGAACGTAGCACTCAAAGATGAAGCCAAACACTTATTCCCACCACCTTGCTATTAACAGTAGCACCGCACTACATCAAAACACAACCTTACACCCAGAGTCAACACCAAACAAAGCAGTTCTGTGAGCAAATTTAACCTTGGCTGGATGCATTTTCTGACTGCACCTCATCTACCCTACTTTCCCTGGCTGCAAGAGAAAACACCAACCAAAACTAGTCAGTGAAGTTCATTATAGATGCTGCACACAATTTTCTGGTTGTGTCTTCATATGGGTGAGACAATTATAGCAATTTTGCAAAAAAATGTTGTAGAAATTTGACAGCAATTATTCACAGCAACTACAAGCAAACAAGGTGCAAAGGAAAAGTTGGACCTGACTTATGAATAGAGACAGTCACAGAGAACAATTGTCTTAGCCCTTTTGTGGATTTTTGTGTTTTTTTTTTAATTGGTAGGTAATTAGAAGGAAAAAAGAAAATCAATGTTAATCCTGACTAAATTGGAGTGTAAAGTTATAATTCTAAAAGGGAAAAGGCCTTGTCTGTCTTAAAAGTTTGTCTAATAATCATAGAAAGAGGAACCTAAACAGTTTGATTCATATTACAGGGGAAAGATCAGAAATTAGAGATGGAGTGAAAATACAATCAGTGTAACCTGCATTATTGACTGGGTCTCCAAAGACAACTGGAAAAGAAAGGGTCAGAAGTTAGTGTCTATTGTCATGCCACTACTGGTGAAAGAATACACTTAGAAGTCTGAGACATGTGTAAGGACAACATGCATGTCAACCTTACTGAATCTGGTTTTAAACTCTATCTAATCAAGAAGTTGACAAATGCAGTTGTTTATGTGAATATGCTTTTTGTCTTGATAGGAGAACAACATATTTTCTTATCAGGAGCAAAACATTACATACATGTAATTTATTATTGTAAATTACAATTCTGCAGATTTTGTCAAAAAATTCTTTACTTAACGTTGAGAGTATAGAGACAGAAGAATTAAGTGCAAAACTGTGGGGAAAAAGTAACAGTTTCAGCTGAGTTTGGTTGGAGGGTCAACAGACATGGTCCTTTTATCTTCAAAGGTAAATCAAAGAATACCAACAACTACATGCCTGTCTAGTATACATTGTATATTAAACAGCAGAGTATGACAATCATTCCTGAAAAAAAAATTCATGGCAACATAATATATATAATATCAAACAAAACTGTTTCAGTCTATTGTCATAATGTTTAGCATACTAATAGTATACAATTCATGTACAAGATTATTTCTTACACTGAGTCACAGGAAAAATGTCTCATAGTATATGTACTATATAATACAGTCATGTAATACATACTGGTATACATTGTAAAATGTTAGACAATCATAATGATCATATGGTAAAAATATGAACACCGTAAAATACACACGTTTGTAAAATTTCGATGAATCTTGTAGACTAAGTAGAAATTATCAAAAGATAGGAATTGATGTACACTAAGTTTCTCACCTCCTTTTTTGCCTGTGTCGTGCATGGACTTGAACATTTTCTTGTACCAGTCCTTTTGGTTCTCCACACTCTGTAAGACAGGCATTAGAATTACATTTAACAAACATGTAACCATCTCTATACCAGGGTAGGGTACAGGCCGGCTCAAAAAAAGGGCAGATTCTTTGCAAGAAAGACTTGTCCTTTTCTTTCTTTTCAATAGTTTTGAATAACCATTTTGTTCACTGACAGAGACATTTTTCAAGAATTGAAAACTTGTTTTCCCCTTAAAGTTTGTAACAGTTGGAATGAAAATGCTATGATTCCATGTATTACATTTTATATTTTGTTTAATCATTGACACTTTGTCAAGTAAGATATTTAAGGTTCAAACTGTAATTTTTTTATCAGATCAAATACCATACTGCTTAAAAAAAAGGAAGTTTGTAGATTTCTCACATTTTCAATATAATCATTAAGCAGTTGTATGTGTAGTTATGTCATTTCAATTTTCAATAAACTCTGAAATACATGTACAATGTATATATTATATTAAGTACAAACAGTCAGTTATTTGTTGAATGAACTTTATGTTGATGTTTGTTATATAATTTTAGTTGAAGTATTTGATTACTGCATGATGGTAACAACGTGTCATCTTGGAAGTGAAATCACTCACTCCTCTGGGGTTACTCTCATCTAATTAGGTGATGATGATTACGTAATAATTAGCACTTTAATTAGCATCTGGGTGGGGAGTGCAGCTGCAAGGGTTTAAAATGGACTCATTGATCAGGTGGCTAACCTGTGTCAAACATTAACAGCTCTTTTTTCTGCTGTTTTTTCAATATTATTTGTTATACATTGCTGTGACTTTGTCTATGTTCAAAGGAATGGATAATTATGTAGTGTTTGGTATTTTTTTTTAACCGACTTCAACGTCATTTTTCCCCAACTGGGGGTTAGACGTGCTTGCACCAGGTACAAGTCTTTTTTTTGAAGCAAGAACAGAATATTGATATATTGAGTTCTGTCTTGCAAAAAGAAATTCAGGTTTCAAAAAATTGGTAATATTTGTAATCAAACAAAAAATGTGTACTTAGTACTAGTACTTTTCATTTTCAAAATCTTTATCATCATTCTGGCATTTTCATTGACTCTTGCCAAAAAAACATAGTAAGAAGATTACCACAAACATTTGTTTTATGAATTGTGTCATTTTTATGGTGTAACAAAATAATCTAGTGCTTTTTTTTTCTGAGCTTAACACAAAGTGTTACAGTAGTATTTGACGCAGGTTTGCCAGCAACAGTTGTCATATATTATATTTCCTGTGTGATCAGCCACTGCAAGTAGTGAGGAGGGGTGGGGAGGGGGGTGGAATGTGCCCATGCAGTGTGAAGACCACTCACTGCTCGAGTCGACGTGGATACCCCTGATTTGCCAGTAAGTCTCTCTGTGGTTCGATGCTAGAAGGAAAACACCAGAATGTTGTAATGCTACCCTAGAGCATGACATGAAAAGAGACACCGCTGAACACCCATAGCAGCATGGAAGGTCTGATCTCTCCAGATGGCATAAGATTATGGGCTGTGTGTTCAAGGAAGTTTTGTGTGTTTGAGGTTTCATTCAAGAATAAAAATCTTCACAGAGCAATGCTCTTTCACTTTGAGTACCAAGAAGTACAATGTACATTGTATATTAACTGATGGCAGCTCCTGATAGTGATAGAGTGTGTGTCAGATGATAACCAACCAGAAGGGGTGACGTCTGTCATCTCTGATCACTTAGTTAAGGGCCATGTACATTTTGTTTTGATTTAAAAGATTAGATTGACAAAAAGCACTTCTGTATGTAATTGAGCAAGTTATTAGGCATAGGAATATTGTCAGAGAGTATGACCAATTCTCTCAGCAAAAAGATTGACATTTTGAAAAGTAAATCTTTTTTTTGGGTTGCCATTACAAATTGGATGGCACCCAGGGTAGTTCAGGGTAAACATTGACAGAAATATTGTACTTTCTGTATCTGATTCTTTGAGCTTTAGATTGACAAAAAGTATTGTACCTTCTATATGAAATTGAGTAATATTGTCAGACAGTTTGAAAAATATCTCTGAAAAACGCCCCCAAAGATTAAAATTTTGTAAATTAAGACAGAGTACAACCCATAGCCATGTCATGGAAAATATCAGACCAGCAAGCACTGAGACAGAAACAGAAACAAGACAAAGCAAGACAAATGGAATTGCTCCGTTTGAATCCCTCTCACTCACCGATCTTGTTGACGTGGGCATGCCTGACTCATCTTGAGGCCCAGCTCCTTCAAACTTCACTTCCTTCGAATCCACGACGTGGTAAGTCTTTGTCGTCTTTGGTTCCCTCATGGGGTAGTATGTGTCTGTGTGCACCACGTCCCCCTCCACGATCTTCTCCTGGTAAACTGCCCCGTCTGGCAGGTCAGTCTTTGGTGTGATGTACCTTCCTGTTGGGGTAAGAATGGAGAGTAACAATCATGCATCACATACAGGAGTATCAACCACGTGGGCCCATGTTAGAAAGTCTACTCTCAAAAACCATGTTAAACTTGACAGTGAAGGAAGACACACACATTCTTTTTCAGCTTTTTTTTCCATAATATGTTCTACCACTGCATTAATTTTGTGTACATCAGACAATATGCTACAGTTCAGAGACCTAATATCATTTTACCTTTTAAAGCTGAAATAGAATGTTGTGCTACACTTTCGTTCATAGCTGAGGCTAGAAGGCATAAACAAAGAAATACTGCAAAAGGTATAGAGGTACAAATGTGTAAGTATGCAGTAACCTGAATGCAACTAGTGCCTAGTTGCATGCACATACAGAGCCGCTACAGCAACAAAGTCAGCAAGCTACATGCACTACGTATTGTACATAAAACTGAAAAGGAATAAAATGTTTGAACGGGGAAAAAAAATACCCTGTGGTTGAAAGATCAAGCAATGCCACAAGTAAAATAGTTAATATGAAGTCCACAGGATTTTTCACAGGCCAATACATAGTATACTGTGTGTATATAATGATTCTAAAATGTTTTTGACTTGAAGCACTACAGCAGCACACTACAACTGTAACAGAAATCAATACAGTCTGCATATTGCAGAAAAAAAGCATATGAAGCACTATCAGCAATCAGCAGTTGCAGCAGCAATAATATTGATTTCAGAAACAAAAATGCAAATAACAATAAATATTAATAACCAACAGCAGCCTGCACCCTCAAAAGTTTTAATAGACACATTGTCAAGATCAAACCAGATCACAAAACGCAGTAGCCAAGATATCTTTACATGTATGTAAGGATTCATAATGAGCTTGAATGCTGTGATCATGGGATGCCCAACTGTTCTTATTTTGCTTTAAATTAGCCACTGACAGTTTGCCAAAAAAACAAGTTACTTAAGCGATTTTGGAAACGGTCAGACATTTCAGTTTACTAACTAAAGCATCCACTACCTTTTGTCAGTGACACTAGTGAGATCTCAAAATCAACAGCTTTATTACCACAAATGATCAATTGATATGCAAATAAAGTGGAGACAATTTCTTCATAGTCCAATAGGAAACAAAAGTTGGACACTGACACTTTGGGTCAGAATGCCACAATGCTGGTGCAAGCTACTGTTCTGTAAGCATGCGCAGGGAGAGACAAAAAATAAGAGAAGCTCCAAATAATGAAAGTCGATCCAAAATTAGTAGGTAAAGACCTGAGGCAAGCTTGTTGGCATTGTCATGCACATGCTCCGTGTGTCTCTCTGTGGGGAAAACCAGAAACATGGTCAGCAACAAAAATACCCCAAATCATCAAAGTCAGACAACTTTTCTACTGCATTAACCATTCAGCTAAGCAATGTATTTTGAACTTTATGGTCATCCTTTAGGCCACACCAAAAATTGCTTCTTGGATTTGCTCGCTTCTTCTTTTTTTTTGATGTTGAAAAAAAGAAACATTTCAGGTTCGAAATCAACTCGTAAACGCTCAATAGTTTTAGCCCCAGCAACTGAGAGAAGTCCTTGTCTTCCTAGTTGTTATAGTTTTTTTTAGCTTTCATTAAAGGTTCAAAATTCATTGTTTGAATTATAAACCAGCATGGTATGTTCATTTCATGGCTCCTATCATAGCACTTGGGGCTATCATAGGATGCCCTGTTTTACTTTTACTGCTTTTTTTCCCTGTTGCTTTATATTTTTTCTGAAAAAATCTGAGAACCAATAAGTCAAACTGATGTGGCCTTACAAGGTTTCAATTACACATGTACATACATTGTGTACTGCTATGTGTTAACATCTGTGTCCATAATATCACCAGGGTCCATAATATCGCCACCCTGAGAAATAGTGTGCTTTTGCATACTTTTGGTATGCACTCCTGCACACCTCAAATGTACATACCTAGGGTATGTTGTAGTAAAAATATTAAAAGCACACTTTTTCTCAAGGTGGCGATATTATGGACTATGGTGATATTATGGACACAGATGTTACTAAGCAGAACTGAAGACCCATGCTTAGCTGAATGAATACTTGGCAAGACAGAAATATTGTCTGACCCCCAGAGATGAAACAAAATGAAAATGAAATGAAAGAAGGATGGTAGACTAGACTACGTACCCTCCCTCTTCTCTGTACAAACAGTGTAAGGAAGTCATGAGGAGCACACAGAAACAAACATGGGGGAGAGAACAGGTGGCCAAGAGATCAAGTCAGAAAATAAATCCAAAAGATTAGGAAAAGTATGAGCTTTGAAATGGGTTTTTTTAAATATCTAATATTGGGAAAAGAGTATTTTAGAAATATTTATGATTAAGGTATTGCTGACAACTAAATGTTTTTATGTTGTTCATCCACAGTTGATTGCCCAATTCCTAATTAAAAGTTTATTTATTAATTGGCTAGAAATAAGTTAACCTTAGCCTACATTTGAAATAGATCTTATTAAAGTGGAATGTACATGACAAAAATGGACACTGAACTTATCTAAAGTATCATTATTGTTTTCTTAGTACACAGATGATACCTTAAAGTTTAAACTAATTATAATAGTGCAAATTGTATTAGTAGACACTGATTGGTTACAACAATTATTTCAAAATTATTCTATGACAAACTCCCTTGACTCAGGTTTACCAGACTTAGTGCAAAGTGCAGAAGTTGTACTCATAATGCACTTTGCATGCCAGAATCATAAAACCCCAAGTGCATGAAAGTAGCAACCACTGTATTGTGCATATTAATAATTAACTGTAATAATTGTACTGTATCATTAGTGCCCAAGGAATAAGCAGTTATGGATCATTAAAAATGTATTGTGATGGTATCAGTCAAGTTAGGAATGGGAACACGATGGTACATGTACGACAAGGCGCTCGCAAAGCACAAGAGCACGGCCAGCATGGATATTTGCCACATACATTGTACACAGTCACACTGACATTATCACTGATACGCAGAGCGTGGCAGAATCAGTGGGGATGGTATCCACAGTGCTAGTAGCATTGCACACAAAACAGGACTGGATCAATGGTTACATCTGACAAACTGACACAGGCAAAGTCTGAAAAGAAGTTCTGTTGGTTAATACATGATAGCTGCTGAAAAAAGTATCATGGTTCATGTTATTGCAAGGGGCACAGCATTGTAATTCAGCAGAAATATTACAGATTACGTCTAATATCTTAACAACTGTTATTTGAAGTGAGTGTGCCCATTCTTTAAAAAAAATCTTCCGCAGCATGGAACATGCAAAAGTGCAGGAGTCATTGTCATTCCCAGTGTGGCCCATCCACAAAATGTGCAATTGAAAAACTCAATCCCAGCAGTGTGCATGTATCAGAGATCATTCGCTGAAGTTGCTGGGCCCACCTGGCGGAAGCCTGTGGTGTTTTAGCAATGTCGTGGTGGGGCTTTCCGTTTTGGGCAGCGAGGAGGTGGACTCCGGACTGAGGCTCCGCTCCACCCCGTTCACCCTCCCGTGCTGAACTTGAACCTTGACCTCCGAGGAACTGTGCGTCAGTTTCTTAGCCATGGAAGACGTTGTTGGGGACAAGGAGGTTTCCGACGAATCTGAAGGAGACTGTGGAAGGAAAGCGACAAGTATTGAGCATCATATCTTGAAAGTTCATCTGTGTTGGTAGAAGTCATTATGCAGCAAGTTTAAACTGTAATTTCCAACACAAGAAATTGGAGTCACCCAAATTTTTGACTGTACAACTCCAGTCTTTGTCAAGGAATGAACAATCCACCGCTTCCGTGACGTCACGCAGGTAACACACGTTCATTCCTTGACGAAGACTGGAGTTGTACAATCGAAAATTTGGGTGAGTCCAATTTCTTGTGTTGGAAATTACAGTTTAAACTTGCTGCATATTGAGCATCATATTGTATTCACGACATTGTTATACTTAAGACTAAGAGTTTCACTAGCTTTAGTTCAAATCTACATTGCACTGGATATTTGCTTTCTTCATTGGCCTGATCACTCAACTGTTGTAGCATGAACTACATGCATTGGGTGAAGTTCTCTCATCATTTGCAGTCCACAAATATCAAGGTCTTTGCACTTGCCTTGTTCACATTATGACAGCCAGCTTTTTTGGACTAAGAAAATGCCTGGGTGACATTATTCCTCAGTCAACATAAATAGAAGAAATTATCTTCGATCCAACTGATGATACATTCAGCAGTTATGACATTCATTTTGCACCTGGATCTTTAAGCCTTTACTTGTACCAGGGATACTTCTACTTTGTCCAGAAGTGTCTCAAATGCATTCACAAGAAGCACAATGCCAAGATGCTTATCTTGATGCAAAAGATGCAGAAAAGTTTGAAATATAACATGAAAGAGGATAACAGTCTTTGCAAGGATGTCAGCATAACAAAAAACAGGCTGCCGACATTTACATGTATGTCATGCAAATGCATTACATTACGAGGAAAAATGAGATGAGCCAAGGATAGGGTAGGTGTAGGTACCACTTTCTTCAAGCGTGGTGATATGGCTTTCTGAACAACCTCTGCTGCTGCTGCACTTCTGGGTGATCTGCCAGGGGGCTCTTTTTGGGACACAAGTGGGGAGAGGACTCTGGGAGGTCTGCTAGCTACGGGGGAAACAAGTCTCCCTTCTACTGATATAAGCTTTCCGGGGGAGTTGATCCTAACGGGGGAAGAACGAGCTTCGACGAACTGCTCGGTGGGGCCGTTGACCTCTGGGCGGTTCGGGGAGGGGGAACGGGAGCGTGAAGCTCGCCACGGGATAGGGGAGGACGTCGTCTTGGGGGCATTGTCCACCCGATAGGAGGCGGAGGTCTGGGCTACTGGGGCGGGGACTGGGGACCTACGGGACACAGAGGGGGAGGGGGAACGCCAGGAGGAGGAAGGGGGGGTGCTACTAGCGGTGCCACTAGCTGGCTTCCAGAGGTAACTCTCCTCCGGAGTCGGAGGGGGCGGGCCCTGCGGAACGAAGGAGTGAGAAAAGAAGGCTGTTGGAGAACGAAAGACAGAAGGTAGAGCAGAATGAAACTGTAGGGGATTAAATCAGCGTTAGGCAGAATAGAAAGCAACAAAATGGAGTGGGGTGGTGTGGCGTAACGGCAGTGTGCTCAGCTTGGAACCAAGAGGTCCTGAGTTCGAATATTGCCACGCCACCAATCTTGTACCCTTAGGAAAGGTACTTTCCTGAGTCGGACTTAACTCTGGTGAAAATGAGTGTTGTCTATTGTCCCTCTGCATTGGTGGTGGCATAGAAGTAAGTTGAAAAAGTGTGCCATCACCATGTCTTGAATGTGTTAAAAGTTGGAATAAAAAAAACTAACAAAACGGAGAATTTTTTTACTGTTATTGTTTTGGAATACTTGATCAAGTGGGACAGACAAATAAAGCATGACGCACACCTTCAGTTTTCTAAATACCAGATTCCATCTAGTTCTACATAGGAAGGTTGTTACAAAACATGTTGTCAAGGCAGCTGACATGTCCCTGCTGGACTAGTACTGCTATAACCTAATGTTGAGACTGATCGTCTGCCATGTCAAGTTACAAAGGTTTAGAAAGTTGCTCAGTGGTGGAAAAAAAGGGACAGAAGTGGCTATGCTGTATCATATATTCTTCCTAGGATAATTGATTCAGATTAGAACAGCTACATGATGTCAATGTTTCTTGAAGCAGCAAATTTAAGAAAGAAGGTTGTTTAAGGAAGAGGTTGGCAGCAGGAAGGAGATGACTTACAAAATGTAGGCGTCTTTCACCAGAGGGATTAGGATGCCGACCTTTGTTAAGACTGATGATTAAAACACATCCCTGGACTTTTGCAGCAGGGGCCAAGAGATTATCCTACAATTTGGGTTTGGACTAAGGTTTCAAATGTCTGTCCAAGGAATGCTGCTAGTTTTCTGTCATTCCAACACTCCAGCCTCTCAGTACTGTTGCCCACAAAGCAAAATCTTTGCTGAATCTGGAACAGTAAGACTGGTAACTGTTGCATTGTGCATCCTATCTAAACAATTGGGTGCACAAAAATTTTGGGGTGCACCATTTACGATAAAATAAGTTTTTTTAGAATGTCAGCCAAAACTAATTATGTTTCAACATCTTTACATACACATAAACCTGCAAAAATATTTTAGTGCACTGGACCAGATGCATCCACAGAAACAAACTGAGTGCACAGCTCCAAATTTGGGTGCACTAAGGTGCACATGCACCCAGTATTTCGAGCCAGACTATATAGTACTGGAAGAAGGTTAAAAAAGAAAGAGAGGCTACGAAAAACCTGGATGTTTTCCTACCTGAGGCCGGTTCTGTGGCCCCTTCAGGTCCACCCGGATACTCTTGAAGCCCTTGCGCGCGGCGGTGGGGGAGGGGGGCACGTTGGAGGGGCTCCAGGTGTGAGGCTGGTTCTTCAGGTTAACCTCGTCCGCCAGGTGAGTGTCGCCCTCCGTCTCCAAGGGCGGGGTCGGGCAGGTCGGCGACCACACGCCTTTCACAAGGACAAAAAATGTCAATCATCAATAATAATAACTGTGGTCGGCTAATATATTATCTGAAATTCTTAGGAAAACACAAATTACACACACACAATTTTCTTTGCCATCTGACAACATCAACTTTTCAATCTACTTTAACATACAGGCACTGCTTATAATTATTATTATTATAATTAATGACAGAAAGATGACACTCCTTTCAGATTGACACAAAATGTCAAGTAAGCTATATGAAATCAATAATAATAATAAAAAATAACTGTGGTCCGCTTATACATATTTTTGGAAATTCTTAAAAAACCACAGATGAGACAACTTCCTTTGCCAGCTGACAACATCAACTTTTCAATCTATTATATTAGACTATATATACTAATATACAATTCATGTACTACTTAATCATAGGAAGATGACACTGACACTAAAGCCTTGCCATGATCTTCTATTTACTGAAAACCAAACATGGAAGGGCATCTGTCACAACGTAGATAATTGCCTCATAATCTCTGGACCACGTTAAAAATAGATACCGACCAATTTAGCTCAATATTCCTACAGCCCTCTCCGCTACCCCAGGCCCAGTCCCGTGACAGCAGCCCTTCCAAAAAGACACCGACGTCCTGCGGAGATGTGACGGATTACCGAGGACCCAACCCACTCCAGCAGTCTCCCCTTTCACATCAACCGGCCAGAAACTTGGCACCTCCTCAGCACCAATATTTAACGCAGTTAGCTGCTGAATTTCAAAACAACCAGTCCGGGCAATCGGCCAGAATAAAACAGATCTAAGAACCAGGATTTTCAAACAGAAGGATTCAAACTGTGGCAGATTTTTTCTTCCATGATTTGAAAGGTAAGTATCGTGTATCGTCGGTACACCCAAAACTGGGAAGACTCAGAGAATACTGCCAAGAATTCCGTGGACCGCATCATTCCAAAGACCAAACCGGTCAAATACCAATGACTAAGACACCTGTCACTATGCTGGCTTCACGCAACCTGCAAAATGTAAGACGTAATAGTATCTGATGTATCAGAATCCGTATGGTCCTCTAAATCACACTGTGATGCAATAATTTACATCAAACAGGAAAATAATTGAGTAGACTGACAGTGTATCATTTGTTTACAAGTCATGTTGAATCCTCAACACGTTACAATTATTATTATCATGAATAAAAATATATCAACTTTCTTGTGCCCCAACTGTGGCTGGGACTGCCATGGGAAGATGGGGCTCAGATCAGCCATAATAGGGCCACAACACCAGACCTACATGTAGAGTGCTACCATCATCTTTCCAGATGGAAGGATACATGTATAATCTATTGATTCAGAAGCGTCAACAAATTCAACTTTCTTCTACTTTATAGCATCTTAATTCTAACTGTGACGACATTCTGATGTAACATACATACAATTGTGAATACATTGTACTTGACACACGTATATATGTGTGTGTGAGCAAACCTACCTGGTGTAGGTGAGGCCCTCACGGCGTTGAAAGTGGGGGAGGGAGCTCGCGTTCTCAGGCTCATCTTCTCGTTCGCCACGTCGTCCACTACGATCGTTTCCGGTCTCTTCGGCGCGACGTTCCTTTGCTCCGTTTTTGCCGGCGACCTCTCCCGTTGCCTGGCTGGAGGAACGCTGCCTGAGGTAGGCATGTCAACACTCGAAACTTTTCCTTTTGGAGACTTTCCGGCTGCCCCTCCAGTACCGGTCTGCTGCATTTTTCCTGCTATCATAGTAACCGACCCGTACCCCTTAGCAACGGGGCTGGTCGGCGACTCTGGAATAGCAAGACACCATCACAGGCTGAGTCAAAACAAGGCTCAAACTAAAAATAAATGCCAGCATTTAATAGTGATCTACATGTACCAGTGTCCAAAGAGGTAAGGCATAGTAGTGTTACCGTATATGGACAGCTGTGTAACCCAAGAAGGCAGTAAATGCTTTGTTACCTTATAATAAAACCTTAACATTTATACTCTTATAGATACACAAACATGAATGCATAACCACTAGACAAGTGTCAATACTACGTAGATATGTGTACTGGTACAGAATGACAGTTCTGTTGAGAGTACAGCTTTCAATAAAGAGAACAATTCAGATATTATGCCTGAATAAATAGGACATACAACATAAAGTTTATTACACATATACGAGTGTGACCCATGGAACGAAAGGGAAAACTTGTGTCCACAACATGAGACAGTCATAAAACCAATGACATGGGCAGGTTGTATGGTGATGATATGACTGACATTGAGACAACACTTCAGCCTGGGTTCCAGACTGTTTCCAGGGCGTATATACTATAAGAGACAGCTATGAGTGGGACAATTTGTTACCATGAAGTTAAAATGTAGAGTTATAATGACAGAGGGGTCATCGGATATTGCAAAATACACACGTAGAGGCAATGTATGTACATTCTGTATCATACATGTACAACATATCAAATTTTATATATTCTAGAGAAAAAAATGAGCAATAGAAGGCATAATGGTTCCTACTCTCTAGACCAGTGTTGTAAAGTTGACCAAGTTTGTAATATAGGGAAAAGACTCAATATGTAATACATAAATGACAGTGATATTTGTAGCTGTACTTCTGTAAAGAAATATAAAGACAGGCCTTAGAAAGTTATACACAGTAAAGGTCGAAATGAATAAAGACTTTTATTCTAAGATGAAGTAGACAACTTGATAGATTAAAGATAGGGAAGAACTAACATATCATATGGACTGATAAGGGTACAACAACAACAGTCAAGTATCACAGCAGAAATGCAGACAAATAGCTGTAATCATTGTTGTGTTTATGTCGTAATCATTGTTGTGTTTAAGCTGTAATCATTGTTGTGTTTAAGTCGTAATCATTGTTGTGTTTAAGCTGTAATCATTGTTGTGTTTAAGCTGTAATCATTGTTGTGTTTAAGCTGTAATCATTGTTGTGTTTAAGCTGTAATCATTGTTGTAAATTAGTGACTGATTTGGTCATTTACTTGATTGCTGATTTGAAGCATGTGTGATCATAAAATACTGAAATTTTTTGCAGTGCGCACTTGCTGGATCAAAAAGAATCAACTTAAGATAAAACTGATTTCTGGGCAGGCATGATTTGCAATTGAATTTTTGGACGACATTAGAAAAGGACTTTCAACAAAGCAATCGTAACCTCTAGGCTCGTGCTGCAAAGCGGCATGCCAGCTGTGCCTTTTTCGGAACATGGCCTGGCCATGGCTTGGTCTGTTGTTGCGTATGAATGTAGCCATTGAAACAGGCCGTCTGTGTGTGTAGTAGCTTTTACCTGATATGCATGCAAAGGAAAAGGTAAAACAAAGCATTAGAGAAAGACCAGTTTCTAACCGTGATGGTGAGAAATTAGTACATCCGAGAATACTGACAGTCTATAACCTGAGCCACTTTGAAATGTTTGTGCGATTTAAATGTCTTGTAGTAGATAGCTTCACACAGGAAGCGATGACTAATATCAGTAGTGATCAGCTATGATAGGATCATTATACATTGTAGCATAAAAGTATTGGCTGTATCAATATACATTGTACATAACAGTCTGTTTTCCAGTTTAATCATCATCATCTTGTCGTAAGAGTTTCACAGATGTTCATGACTCTTTTCTGGTTCAAATATGCCTTAAATCCCTCTATGTCATAACACCCAGCAATGCAAAACACCTTAAGTTAAGATTCAGTAAAGTTTACAGTCTTATCTCCAGAGTGAAATATTTGTTTTTCTTCTCAGACCTTATATCCCATCAGGTCAAGTACCTTAAGACCCACTTTGGCTTGACTTAACCTGCAGTCTTACCGGCTCTGTGTGACCTCCTGTTCTGGAGTTTCTTGGCCTCAGCAGTCGCAGAAAACCTAGTTTCTTGAGGCTGCTTTTCCGGAGGCTGCTTTTCTTGGGGTTGCTTCTCGTGAGGCACTGCATCAGCTTCAATTGGCTTGAAGTGCAGGGAATCGGGAAGGTTGTAGTCATTCTTTTCGCTGTCCGAGTAGGGGTTGAAGACTTCCACCACTTCACGGGACGCCGGCGACAACGACTCTTGGGCAAAGTCGTCGTCAGCTTGGACCTCTACATGCCTCGCTTGATACAGAGATCCTCCTTCGGTAGGGTTTTTACTAGTACCTTGCACAGGTTGCTGCGAAAGCCGTGAAGACTCTTCAATACTCTTTACCTGGCCTCCCTTACTGTTACCCTCCCTCTGCGCCGGACGGTGGTAATACTGGTCATCTCTGTACCCCGTCGTGTTGGCACTGGCGTACGGTTCCTCCACCGGTGCATTGCGGCTGTCGTCAGCCTGCATGTAACCCGACACTGCTGTTCCGTACCTCTCGTTCCAGTGTCTTGCGTATCTCTCGGCAGGCGTCTCGTACCGCGGAGCGGCGTCCCCGTACCGAGCCTGCATCAGGGCCCTGCTGGAAGACGTCGCCCTCCTCGGACTGAATCCCTCCATTTTATCCCTCCTTCCGTACCCATCTTCTTTATATTCGTCATCCATTGGTTCCACGTACGTTGCTCGGAAAAGCGGCCTCTCTGGAACTGAGGCATCGTCCCTCGGATGCTTCACGTATGTCTGATGAAGATCTCTCTCGGCTGGTACGTAGTTTTTTCCCGCGCCAAGACCTACTGATGACAGTGATTCTGATTTATCCTCATTGCGGTCTACTGTGGGATAGGTATGAGCAACGTCATAGTGGGGAGGCTGTGATTGGGGGGGTTCCTGTGATTTTGAGGAGGAGGTGGGCTCCTCCCTACCGGCATAAAGACTCCCCCAGCTCCAGTGCAGGTCACCTGCGGGTGTGGTAAGGTACAGTACAGGCTGAGTGAACGTGGGGACTGTGCACAGCGTGTGGACCACTTACCCTCCACCATACCGCAGATAGACTCAGGGACAGACAGAAGACATGAACACCAGCAGTTTATCCACTCCCTAGTCTTCCGCCACTTCTTATGCCTTTCAAGATGCTATGAATTATACTGTTATTCCTGATTTTTTTCACAGTAATTTTATGTCCACGATGTTCATGGTCACTTCTGTGCCGTGAACTTATCATTACCGTTAATAAATAATTCCTCAACTTTCTCTTTCCTTTTAATTTTTTACCGTGAACATACCAGTGTTCATATTTCTCAGACCATGAAATTTTGCTACCGTGAACATTAAGTTTACATAGAAATTACAGTAGATATCACTCATGCAATACTGTTTTTGTTGATTAATGACCGATGGTTCTTTCTGCTGCCGAAGATAACTCTGTCATTACCAGGCTAGCCACTGTTACTTCCCAAGTATCTGTATGATACTTTGACATTTATAGTTAATTGTGATATGATGAGCCTTTATACAGTAAGGGTGCCTATATAATGTGAGAGCAGCGGGATTTAAAACGTTTAGGCACCGAGGGATTGTGCACTGCAAGAAATTGCTGACAACTTGAAATGGGCATCTTGCTCCATCTTCATCACATCAAAATTTGCATCTACCACTCAGAGACTCTATGTATAAATATACATTTGTACAACATTGAATCATTTAAAAAATACATATTTCAACAGGATTTTCCCAGACCTTGCTGTGTCAGAACCTGAAATGAAGATATGCAGTTACTGTCCTTGGTGCTGAAATAGTAATGTTATGAATTAATATACTAGTATTAACTTTGAACCACCTCATTGCTGACCTGTGGTACAACCAAAACAATCTTAGCACATATAGGGCAGCCTATAGCAGGAAAGGGTTAACAAGCTTTAAATCCCTGTGCCAAGGCTCGAAATACTTTTTTCTGCATACCTGCACCAGTGCTGGTATCATAGAAAATTAGCTGCACCAGACAACTTTTACCTGTACCAACCAGACTTTGAGAAATACAGATTGCATTAAAAAATTGTTCAAAAACTACTTTAGGTCAATACAGCATATAAAAGTCTACATACACCTTCATGTAAATCATAAGCCAAGCATAGACCAACGCAGGTTACATTGTAGGTGCATGTAGACAACAGAAATACCTGCACTAAGGTGCATACACTCAGTATTTCGAGCCCTATCCTAAGCAAATGCCTCTTTCTTCCCAACAGCAACAATGTAAGAGCAATCCATTTGCCTGTGCTGTGGTACAAAAAAACATCAAGTTATTCAATGTATGATACTGCTATACTAGTTATTTCCAAAGGGGATAAGACTGAATCAGATGCTTTGGATCCACTAAGAACACATCAACCCCATCTAATACATGGCTGACTATCTTGTCACAACTTTGAGCCATATAAATGCATTTATCATGTACCAAACGATAACAGAAAATAAACAAAATCCTTCTGACATACCGGGACTCAGAAGTCCTTGTGGCCTGAACCACGGATTATGCCTGATTTGAGATTCTATCTGGTCTCTAAGTTAAATAGGGAGGCAGGAATTAGTCCACATCTGCAAAGCCCATCTCCCTCCATGAGTAAATATCTGTGACCTTCTATTTTAAGTGCAGCATGCTACGGGCCAGGCCAAATAAACCACAGACCAATCCATGTTCAAATCTACCAGGGATCATATTCAGATTGTTTTGTTATTGATTCCCTTAACTCTTTTAGCTTTTGTCAGTTTTCTGTGGATTGGATTTCTACACAGCTTCCTTTTTAAGTCTACTTTAAGGTTCAGCTGTAACTCAACACGTCTCTGCGTACCCTCTAAAACAAACATTGTATTATCCACGTTTCTCATTAAATACACAATAACCACAAACTTAGTGGTTCTGAAAATATCAACATCTAGTCAAGAGTTCCCTCACACCATTCCTATTAACCTTTATCTAAAGTTGACAAAAGCACCAAAGCTCTATTTTAGGGACCTCTAAACAAGCCATTTGTACATGTCATTAATACCGTGTATAATAATATGTAAATTCTATTGGCAGATGGAGGCCATATCAAGTATTCTTCCTGCTAATAAAATTGGTAGAAACAACTTGATAACATACAGACCTAACATATTGAGCTAAAAGGACTTGGGAGACCATTGGAGAGACCTCCAGTGATAAAATACCCAAACAAATCTATATTACATGTATGCATCACGTCTTCTGCACTTTGAAGCTACAAATATTTATTAACACTTCTTGTATAGTTGAATTGAATTCTTATATCACCACATTGGAAAGCTCTGTAAATGATGCATGTTTAGTATACTCCACAATACTAAGAAAGTCGTCAACATTTGGAATCAACATGGTATGGCCTATGTAGTACTGCCACTCATAATATTCACCTGCTAAGAAAATCCTTAAGTTATAGATCATCAATACAAAGTAATTCTGTACTCAATAGTTCAAATATGTACAGTCCAGTAAGATCACACGAATATACAATCAGGTAACAGATAACTTTTGTGGCATTTGTCAACATTTCATAGCCACATTCTGTGATACTGGAAACATGAATTGTACACCTTAAAAACTTAAATAAAAGATTGCATAGTATAAACCTTACACCCTCCAACCACCATAGAATACACTTTGAAATTCATAGATGCTAAAAATACAATGTATTTATACCGAGTTTGTAAGTTGTTCTTCTAGTAGTTCTACTACTCAACTCCAGAGCCAGAAGCAGAATTTTTTTATTTTGAGCAATTTTGAGTTTGTAAATTGTCCATATACAAATATAAGCTTCTACTACTCAACTGCAGCTTCTAAAGCAGAATTGTTTTTAATTTCCAGCTTGAGTAATGAAGTTGTTTTATACCTTTAGTAGTTGCTTTAGAAGACGCACGAGTAGGAGGGGTGGGAGGGGTGACCTTCGACCTTGTGGGGGGCGCTGGCGGAGGCGGCGGTGGGCCCGAACTTTTCACCGATTTCCAACCGGCATCTAGTCCACAAGACGGCAATACAACACCAATGGAGACACTGTCCGTATATACCACGGTCCACATGCAAACGTACACACTCGCATGTGAGACGGGGGAAAAAAATCTCATACTGATCTATTGTCTAGATGCAGTTTGGGGTTGCGGGGGAGGGGGGTGGAACTATCTTCGAGCAGCTACATTATAACAACCTGATGTATTACGTGATAGCACTGCCATGCCTTCTTAACAGTTTCATATCTCAGTCCATTCTATAGAACCATGCTACTGCTCAGCGGTCACTACGATTACAGCTATCTCCGCATGATCTCAGCAGCCTGCAAACTCTCTATCAGTCATCCAGCAAGACTCCATGGATGCAAAGGGACACCAGCACAAACTGGTGCCACTTGCTACTGCAAGGCACTAGCAGAAGCGGGGATATGTTACACTACTACTGCCTACAGAATGGATAAATCTAGATTTAGGCAACCTACATAGACGTTGTGGTGTCTACTCTGCAGCAGATATATTGACAGATGGCTACAGCCTCAATGCTGACTACCGGTATACATTGTCGTCCATATGGACAACAGTGTTAAAGTGATCTGGCAGATCTATTACTACGCACCATTCTTGGCAGTTGACTCGAGTTATTTGGAAGCCTCCAATTGAAGTCAAACGGTTCTGAATCATAACCATCTCAAATTTCACATGTTCGACTGTCTCTGCACCAAAATCATTCCAATAAACAAAAACTGGAAAACAACAAATTGTGGAGAATGGAAGAGACATCAGATTTCCCTCTCAGAAATATCATACAAAATGATACAACAGTTTGTTGATTTTACATGCCATATATAACAGTATATGACATGTAAAATCCATTTTTATCTCTCCCTACAATGAAGCGCTTGTTAAATTTTTATTAATTTCCTAGCAGCTTACTCACTCCATCCCCCACAAACTTTAAAACTTGTAAAATTTATATGGTGTTTCCATAAAGACAGTGTTTGTACTCATGGTTTCTATTAATTTTGGACTTCATCTTAGATCACAAGACACAGCCCAAAGGTTGATTTGATGCCAAAAACAACAATTGTTAGACGAAGCTAATTACTTTGTTTTGTACTTGAATTGGAGGCTTGCTTTGCTTCAGATAGACTGACCTTGACTCTGACTTTCCCATTTCTGTGCCCACCGTGTTGTACTTGTGCTCTTGGACATGTCTTTGATATTGTAGGTGTTCACCTTGTAGGCTGCTAGACATGATATCGGAGGGACACACGCTCGGTTATTCTCACAGCTTTGGGATCAAACAACTGCGTAAAAATTAGTTCAGACTTTGCAGGTGTTGAATGCGGAGTAACGGTTTTCTACACTCACAGCCTGGCAACCAATAGGAAAAGGTAAGTCATGGAGCAGAGATTTTAGTTGAGAAAATTCTTTACCAGGATGAAGCCCAATGTTGTATTGAATGAAAAATCCTGCAAATTATAATATTACTACATATCCAAGACTCAAGATATCTGTTGCTGTTTTTAATGTCGCAGACCAGCATGCTAACTTTCATTGCTCAAAGTCTGTTAAGACTAATACTAGTAATAGACCCAACATTGTTGCACAATATTTTCAGGATTGTACGCAGGTTTGCTCAATTTAACTTCTAAGTCCAGTATCATCTAGATCAGTGTAACTACCAACTTGAAGTTTAAAAAAAATTCTCTATATACTTATCTCCATCTGTGTAATTTCTGAGTAAATAAAATACTGGATATACTAAATTGTATACCACAACTCTATATATGATGTCTACCTCTTGATTCCGTATCTCTAAAGCTATTGTAATAAATATAAACAGCTCTTATTATGCTGCAATATGCACAGATAATTTCAGCGGCAATGCACACTTTTGGCTGCATATAATGCATAATCCAGAATGACACATAGGTCACCATGCCAAGTAACCATACTGTTTTTTTGTGCATACATTTGTACACAGTCAACTTCCATGCTACACTTCATTTTACTACTACATAGGACATTAAATTCCTTTGAGGCAGTGAACAGAACAATTTACACCTTAAAAAGCAAGCTATTATCATAGTCTAACTTGAGCAAAACCCCACAAGCTCCAGCTCTGGACGTAAAGATGTGGTTGCAGTTGAAATTTATAATTTACATGTATCAAGTGCACGTAGACCCATTCCTGTACATGTATGTATGTACTTGGTTAGATCTTCTTGCATCTATGATTATAACAAGTCAAATCGAGCACCGACTTCTTTTTGAGACAACTGTATACTCCACTCAAAATGACACCATTATGGATGAACAGATTCATTTAATAAATGAATATTATCATTGTGACTCAATCCTAGAATGATGAATCATTCACTGATGAAAATTGTTATGTATTATTCTGGATGATTTATTAGTTTATGTTTGATATTAATGATGAAAGATTTACATGGAATTATTATGATCAAGGTGGAAACAATCTGGTTTCAAACTTCGAGCAATATTTCATGATTTGGAGGTTTAATTTTTTCATGCTAATTAAATCTGTTACCGGCCTTTAATGGGAACCAGCTCTATACTAGAATAGAACGTCTTCTGGTTTCCTGGGTAACCTGGAATTAACAGAAATTTAGTTCCTTACATTCCGAAAATGTTAATGTCAAAGCTATGTTATGCTAAATAGTTTGTGCAGTTCGGTTTGAATACTTGAAACCCGGTGTGCTGTTTCCAACAAGTTTTATGTTTTCCTCCAACATTACAACATTTATCTTTTATTTTTATGAGTATTCAGAGAAAAGACATAGAGGGTTATAGTTAGCAAACAAAAACATATTCAGCACGCACAGCTGTTTTAGCAACACACAAACAAAAACACATATTCATAACAAAAACAACAAGCGAACAAAAAATGTAAACGTGAACAATCAAAACATAGTTTTCAACTGCAAGTGCATCAGAGCTGGAACACCTTGCAACATCACATAAATGTATGAACATGTTAACAGCACATTTTTCCATGGTGGGAAGGATACTAATTATTTGCACTGACAGAAATTTGGGTACAGGGGTACAAACTGATGCAAAACAAACCCACGGAAACCAACATAAACATTCAGACACATCAAATTTCTGTCAGGCAAAGTCTGGCAAGCTTTTTCTTGACAGAAAGAAATTGACAGTTGCTGAGGGGGAAGGGGGGCAGGGGGTGTAGAAGGGGCTGGTTGGGGTGGGGAAAAATACCTGGCGTTGAATTTTCCATCTCTCTATTTCTCCTTTGCGGCCCGTTTGGAATTCTGTTGTTCTCTTCTGACCTGGTAGGGATACAAGGGAACATTCCGTTACTTGCACCTAAACTATCACAAAATACATCCTGGTAAAAAACATCATCAATTGTTAACACAGATTACATATAACCATAGATTGTGTGAACGACTGACATGTAGCTTTTCTTGCATAACGTTTAATAAGTGGTCAGCAATCTAAATAGTATCAACACTGTATTACCAAAAATTACACAAATATTTACACACAAAAGCACGCAGAATGACTAGTCCTCTGACATAATTCAATTATCAAATTGGTTGCTTCTAAAAAGATGAAAACCATAATGACCATGCCCTTGGGCTATTTGCATTCTTGGGAACAACAGCAAGAATTTGAATAATGTTGACTATTTCTGACACCCACCTAGACGAAATCCTGAATTAAAATCAATTATAGACATTCAATTAAGTCCTCTCAATGACATGAACTGCCTACAAGTAATTCAGCAAAATCAAACACTCCAGAAAGCAAATATCTGCTTTCATTGAGCAAATGTACATGACCTTGGGGTTGCAAGGTTATTCTGTTCTTTGGAACATAACAATACATCCTCTGTACAGCAGACGGAATTGAAATGTCAGAGTACCCGTCATGGTTTTATCCACCCATGCTGGCATATAGCCAGTCGGGAACAGTCATTAACACACAACAGTTTTGTGCTACAGATCAGTTTATCCATTTGGTAACAGTCTGTAAAGCCCCTGTCACACATTCACAAAATCAATTTGGCCTCCTGAACACAAGCCGAACGCCCCACGACCATGGTTAGGAGGTCTGCGCAAAGTTGGCTACTATAAATAATAAGGCTGCACCAGCCAAATGTTCCTCAAAATGTTTAAAACATTTGGGGGTTGGTCAGGGGGTTCGGCCATGGTTGGCTGGTGTTTGGCTGTAAGTTAGCAGAACACCATTCAACCATCTGGGAGTAAGATAGCAGTCTTCGGGGGTCAAGTTCAACTCAAACTAAACTCAAATTCGTTTCGATTCAAATACTATTAGTGTAAGGTAGGCGTGGCCTAAATCTGATCCCAAAGTCAGCCGAACCCGGTCTGCTGGTGTCCAGGAACAAATTCGGAGGAAGGTCGTGAATGTGTGACAGGGGCTCAAGGTCGTCAACATTTAACCACCCCATATTTTGGACTGTACCATTTTGCTGGTGGGGACCCAGGGTTCAAGTACACTGCCTCTTCCTTCCAATCTTCCTTCTACCTATCTTAGTACTTCCGAAAGAAGGGGGTGTAAGCACGTCGGCAGCCTGTGCGAAACCACCATTTTTCACAATTTTCGTTGGATGTTTGGTCAACGTTGCAACCAAATTTTGCCTGTTGCAGACAATACTTTTTCCAACATAACATTTGTAAACTGCAGACGGAATGCTATCCTTATATGTGCAAATACAACCTTATGTGAGACGTTCTGCCGAAGAGCTATGCACAATACATTACGGGTTTCGCTCAGGTGCAGTACGTTCTGCCGACGTGCTGGGTTCAAGTGCATAATCCTCACCTCTTCAAGTGCAGCTCCAGACGCTTGCCAGCATTCTTGACCAGCAGTTGTGCTTGCTGTAGGTCCGTCCCCTGGACGTTGTAGCCGTTGATTTTCTCTACAATGTCCCCCTCTCCCACGCCAGCAGTGGCTGCCTTGCTATTGGGGTTGATCTGTAGCATAGGGAGAGGAACGCAGGCATAAATTATACATACCAGGGGTCGAAGTACTTTTATTCGGTGTTCTTAATGACATTAGAATGTGTGGACTGTCCAACATTGACCCACTGGACAGGGTAGCATGGAGACATGGAGTCCAGTCTAGCCAACTGCTGCCCACCCCTGAGACAAGGAAGCCGGTAGCAGAATAATCAAACTTTAAAAGCCTGGATGAGTATGATTGTATGTATTGTATGTATGTATTCTGCAATTTTGTTCTGCAATTCAGAAATACTTTCTGCAAATACACACGTAATAGTCCAGATTGCCGCAATACAAAATTGGATGTTGGCAAATATTTTACATGCAATTTGAAAACTATTTTGCACTAGAGGCAGTAATAAATACAAAAGCTCTTAATTGCCATTAAATCCCTAGCCTGATTTTTTCAGTCTGCAAAATTGCGGGTTAGTTAATTTTTCTTCTGCGACATTGAAAATGTTTCTGCAAAATGTAGACTGCAAATGAGTATTTCTAACTGTGGAGAGGGTAACGTAGACACAAATTATACATGCACACAGAAATTTCAAGAAGGGTCCGACAACCTACATGTGCGTACAAGTACTAAATTAATAAATGGAGATGGAGGAAGGCGATAAGTGTTTTCTGTGACCTTTGACTACACAGATACTCAAGACCCTATAATTGGTTAGGTCACTACCTAGTAATGTTTTGAAAGAACTTACAACAATATCAACTTTTGCGTATCACATAATCAAGGTATAACATAATATTTTTTCAGTTTTATTCAGTTTTATTCAGATCCACAATTAGCCTCATAAGAGGCTACTCTTCCTGTGGTCTACACAATATGTACATGACTTGTAAGAGTTTCCATTTTCTCTGACTATTGTTTACCAAATGTCTAACCTTCACCAAAGTATAATGTAATGTACATGTATATATTATCATATAGAATGAAAAACAATATTTTCCTTTGTTTATTTGGACCAGTCACTTGTTTTGTAACTAACATAATTATGTACGCACAGCTGCTGATATAAATAATCAAATCTCAATCGGGCAATTGAAGAAGACGAAGAATACAAAATGTATGTGTCTCGAGGTTACTTCTTTTAAATACACAAAAGTCAGCATCAATTGCATGAACAGCCAGAACAATATCAACATGCACAAAGAAAACATTTTTAAATGGATGCATTATCAATATACATAAATGGAAAACAGTACACAAACCACATGTACCCTTTCACAAACACACACAACTACAGCAACTCTCATGATGACCGTAACATTTCAAGAGATTTACATCGAAGTCTTAGGCAATAAACAACCTGCTAAATCACAGCTGGCACACTGTATGCTGTTGTCACTGACAACAATAAAATGACTGATGATAAGAGCTATGATTCTCACGACCCAAAGCATCATTGAAAGAAAAATCATTTCCCAAGTGCCGCAGTGAGTACGGGTAAGTGATTACTGCCTACGATAAGAGAATAACAGTTGTGACAGCTGGTGATGGTTGGATGAGATTGGTTGCTATGGCGATCACCATGGTAACCAGGGCCATCATCGACCCTATTTCCCGATTAGGCATAAGGAGACAATAGAAGATGTCACAGTGAGGATCAAACACATCCATTATCAATTCAGCGATACCCGAGGTTAAATCTGCTTCTGTTCAGATAGTATAGGCTGTCCTCAGACAATCAAACTGTCCAAATCCAATAACCTATAAATACAAGAAATTTCATGGGAAAAGCAAAAAAAATCCTAAAATGAACCTTTTGTACAATACATTTTGTATGATTGATACCAAATAATGCAGAGCTTGACAATGGCAACATCCCCATAAAGTGTATTACAAACAAATGTAAGGCTACATACTTTTCTAACTTAGACCATGAAACTTTTCATGGAGATGGGAGTGGCACAAAAATCCTACAATGATACATATATGACCATATATCTTTATGCAGAACTCCGCATGTAAAATGTGAAATGGCAACAACCCTATAAAGTGGATTATATTAGGTTATATTGGCTACACTGCTGGTGACTGAATCATCATAAAGTGTACAAATAAATTCTACGATGCCTGTTTCACACATATCAAATTATACGCAATGAAAATCTTATAGTTATACAAGGAGATTCAGAATTTTATCTGCGTTAGTATCACTTAAGTCTAATAATTTTCAAATTGGTAAAAACAAATGTTCAGCACTGTGATACTGTATGGTGTGTTCTTTCATAGACAAAACAATGAAACCTGAGAGAAAAAGATTCCTATCCCCCCCACCCCCAACCATTCAGTAATATTCAAACTCAACAGCTAAATTTAGATTTCTGACAGGAAATCAAGACACTAATCCAGTTACAATCTATCAACATAGAGGAACGGTCAATTTTGTTGGGAATCAACAAGACTAATACTTTTCACCTCACTAAAGACTGGAAAAGGGAAGAACATGTATCCAGCTTGCAAACATGAATATCTATATTGAGCCATGGACCAAGTTTATGGTGTATGTACAGGGAGTTTACGAAAGTTCAGGACCAGAGCAGTAGACGACTGTTTGCTCTATATTCCACAGCAATGCCTGGCATTCGAGCAGCATTCCATCCATGTCCTCTTTACGGAAAAACCTGAACCCTCTCCAGATACAACCTCCAGCTCCAACTGATAATGTGAAAGACAGATTGGAGCAAAAATAGACGTGGTGTTCTGTAATGTCACCGATATCTTTGGACGCTATGTTGGTACCTTTAAAAAAACTGCACGTTTGGTGTATTAAAGCTCACGTACCTTTGCAGGGCTGAACAGCTTGCCAGCGGCCTAGGGGGTCACAGGAGCCTACCAGAAAGGGCCAACTCAACAGGGCCAAAAATATCGCACTGGGGCACTATAAAAAGACACACAGATTATACCTAGGGGCTCCAGCAGACATTGGTATGGGTCATGGCTACTGCTCCAAGATACCATACACACACCGGGCAAAATCTGATACAAAATGACCGATATTTTATTTTACTTCCTGAAAATCTATCTCAAACCTCTATAAATCCAGTGAGATTAAGGCATAATAATATTCTGTACAATGCCAAACATTGCCGTAAACATTCCTCTTCTGCGCATGATGGCCTTTGGCTCAGCAACCTTTACACAACCCCTGAGGTACTAAACAGAACATTGTACACACGCAATTAGGGGAAATCTGTGGCTAGGAACGGTGGCTATAGCGTGATGACTTCAGCGCTGTGCGATGTAATGTCCAGACAGAATATCAACATTGGCTATTGACATATAGAAGTGACGTTATATCTGTTTTGGCTGGTAAAATTAGTTCATTTATCCTTATTTCAGAAGTCTTGGAGGGTGAACATACATCTGTCTACACATTTGTCTGTGTTACACGCTATATCTTTACTTATCACAGACCAAATAGATTCAGAATGCATACCATACTTGTGGCCAATATGGCATGTCACAACGTAATATCATCAACCAACCTCTGACAAGGATGACCCAGCTTTTGGCTGTTATACTGACTTATACACTGTTCCTGTATCATGGAGCAGGTGCCATTGTATATTTTGCACAAATGACCAGTCATACCCGACAGGCTCATAATTGATTTCGGTTTTTCTAACCATACAAAACCATGAGTCAACCCTCCTTAACAAACAAAACTGCTGACAAGTCTTTGTTTCACCTTACACCATAGAGTTGCAAGACGTCCACTTAACTAAAGTCAGGGGTTACACGTACCTAGAAAGCGTGGCTGCACACCAAAAAGTAAGAATGACATCTTGACTGTCAAAGCAAAACAGCCACTAACGTACATGGTTTAGAGACAGAATTGCCATAAATGAAACTTGAAAATGATCAGTTACCACGCTGGGTACCGTATACTTGTCGATGGAATAACAGCAACATGATATACACACAGTTCAAGTGAAACAATTAGCTCTTCATACATTCCTAACATTCTTAGGTACATGACCCTATTAGTCAACTTGTATACACCTGTCATAGGTAACACTTGACTTACCGACAGAAGCGAGCTACTTTCCTGTAACTTTTAAGGTTCCTCCACGCTAATCATTTGCAGACAATCATATTTGTAGACACCTGATACTGTGATTCTCACAACACGAATATACCTGTCAACAATGTGCCACCTGTCCGTCTTTCTTTTCAAATCTTCACATCTTGACCTAAAGTAGGGCAACTCAGGTGGGGGGGGGGGTCACAATGCCCTACCTACTGTACATCCTGTAATATTTGCAATGGTTTTATGTTTGTGGGTTTGCACTTTTGTCGCAAACTCATCACACTACAAAGATACGCTCTTTCTGAGTGTGCTACTGTGTCATTTTGACTTTTGACCGCAAATTTAAAACACCACCAACACCTCCCTTCCCCCGCCTACCATGAAATTGAGGCCCTGCAAACGTAAATCAATTTACGGTATCCCTCATAACGGTCCAGGAATTCAGCCGCACGCTGCCAGGGGTGTTTCTTACATGTAATCTGCGGTTGGCAATCTCCCGTCCCCCTCTCGGGTTTTACACCTCTGGCTACATCAAAGAATGAAATGGGGACAGGGAGATGTCAGTCAACACTGGGACACAGGCCTGGGCTGAAACCCTACCTGCCAACAATGAGGGGAACCTGTATGTGGTTAGGTAATATTACACAGGACAGATGGGATATTAGTGTCACAGGGACAGCTGAGGGAGTCTCAACATACTAATCAGTTTACAATGTACAAATGTACATGCACATGCAGGCTAGAATGACTGTTACACCAAAGGGCTGTTATGGTAACGTATACCGGCTATACAGACACAACGATATGCTACAAATAAAATCAGGGCTTCAGATACTTTTTTTCTGTATACTTGCACCAGTACAGGTTGAAAATTTTACCAGACAAATTTTACCTGCACTACTCCCAATGAGGAAGTACATATCATACTGTAAA